GGGTGGGTTTTATTTGTTGAACAAAAGGCTTAAAAGAAGAAAAATAACAACAAACAAAAGGTTTTATTTTACACAACGTTATTTTTGGCCAGAAGCTTAAATAAGAGTAGGAAAAAACTTTATTTTGAAATGAAGTAAATGGCAAGGAGTTTTGGATATTTTGGGTTGGGTTGGACAGAGTGGGGGTTGGCCTGTGGAACCCTCGGGTCCGAAGCTATCCTGGCCTCTTGGGTTGAAGGACTCGGAATTCTCACTAAAACGGATCATAATGCTTGAACTTAAGTCATCTGGTTTTTGCGAGGGTGTAGGACATGGGGGAGGGTATGATAGGGCCAGGCCCGGGTATAACATAAACACAAAGCATTACGACACAAAGCATTTAAACCACCCATATATGTTGGTTTTCTTCATAGACACAAAGCATTACGACATCAGTTCGTATCCAAATCCCAAACTTTACGTACTAGTTTCACGCGTTTGACACTCTCTTGGCTCAGCCAAGCCTAAACGACAAGGAACTAATTGGTAATATTTCCTCTTAGAATTTCTTTCAGGTTTTTTAAATATAAGTTACAAGTATTAAAATGACTTGAAGTTGGTAATGTATTCTTCAGATGTCATCAGAAAAGTGATTGGAAGGACGGGTATCCAACGACGTGTTGTCCAGGGCACTCCTCAGAAATTGATGGAGTTGAGTTTAGAAGATGAAGAGTACTGCTTAATTTTTAACACAAAATCAATCCCTTAAATGACTGCTAACTAATGTCACATATGCTTAATTGGCTGCAATAGGAGCAATCACTTCAACATCCTTAAATTCTTCTATAGTGTCTCTAAGTTGTTCTACTTCAATTTTTGAGAAATCACAAGTAGAGCATAGAGAATTAGACTTATTTAAGTTAACTTCATCAATTGCCTTAAATTTATTTTTAAGGTCTTCATTTTCATTTTCAAAAATCTACTTTTCTCTTCAAAAGATGTTAGCTTAATTTGATTTAGCAATTGTAGAGGTTTTCTTAAATTTGTCTAATAACTCATAAAATGCATCTTGTAATTATTCAAAGAAAAGGTAGGTTTGAAATACTTATCTTGTTTTGTTCTTCAAGAGCGACGAGGCATAAATTTGAAGAATCATCTTCGGAAGATTGATCATACTTCCACAAGAAATAAGCATATTCATCTTTGTTGCTTCTTTTCTTGAGCTTTAGACACTCATACTTTAGATGACCGAGCTTTCCACACTTATGACATTTTGGAATGTTTTCCTTCTTGCTCTTTTCAAGCTCATGTTTCATAAACTTGTTAAACCAACTTAAAATTAAAAATTAGAAATTCCGGCAACACACCATGTCAGTGAAACCAACTAAACTCATTAGGTCATTCAAAACAGTTGAGACAAAATGACTAATGATCAACAAAATATACTCCATAATTCAAAATGTCTAGAGGTGAGAACAATATCTAGTACTGATGGACATTTAATTTGAACAATATCTAGTGACGGTTGATATTACTTGAATAATGACCGGTAGACAATAATCAGTTACGGAGTATATTGTATTGAAAAATAAAAACGTATGGTACTATATTAAAAAAATCACTATACTACCACCGTCCCAGTGTATTTGTCTAGTTTGACTTTTTCGAGTCAAACTGGACAAACTTTAAACTCCAATTACTCTCAATTTATATTGCATATTAGCATAATAAAACACAATTTTGAAAGTTCTCAATACGATAAATCTAATAAAGTCATTTTTATGTTAAAACACATTGCAGTTTTTATTTAATTAAAACTCAAAATTTGTCCGATTTGACTCGAAAAAGTCAAAATGGACAAATACACTGGGACGAATGGAATATTTTAATATTATTTAGATAAATTCTATTTTTCATTTGAAGCCAAAACCTAGTACTCCGTATTAAAATGTTCTTTTCTTTTCTTTTTTTCTTTTCTTTCCCCAAATTATGAAATTGTTCCTCCATCTCTTCTTAGACATCCCCCACTTCCGACCTCTTGGATCTCTTCCACGGATACTTTGCTCGAAGCGCTCTCGGGGATACAGAATTACAGAGTCTCAAATTAAACAAAGTACCCACAACATACTTCTTTCTCCCCCTCAGTTACCCGCCAAAAGGGTATAATTTTTAACTCCCCCAATTTCTTCTCCCTTCCCTTTTTCGCTCCAATGGCTTAACGGATCTCTCTTCTGCCAAGGTATTGCTTCCGCTGTTGCAGATTTGCCATTTATGCGGCGGGTTGGCCCGGAACGGCGGCGATTCGCTGGACGGACAGGCTAGCTGTGTTGTTGTTTCTTCTTTTTCCGGGATGGAATCCACGGCCGGGTTGAAATTGGAGGGTGTGGGGGAGAAGAGGCCGCCGGACTCCGAGGCGATCGAGGAGCGGCCAGAATGGAAGAAGGCGAGGGCGACGGTGGGCGGGAATGTGAAGAAGGTCGCGGAATTGGTGCTTGTGCTCGCCGCAATGGGGAAGATGAGGGGCGGGTGGAGTCCCAGTGATGCGGAGAAGGAGATGATGGTGGAAGCAAGGGATAAGTTGGCCGATGTGTGCCAAACGTTTGCTCCAAAGGATGTGTTTCCCAGGGAGGCGTTTGGAGTTGTGATCGAGGACCTTGGCCTTGATAAGCTGAAGGAACAGAGGTTAGGGATTCGCCCTCCTAAGATGTCTATTGCCGAGACCATGTTGATTTCCAAAAGACAGGTCTTCTTTCCCCCTCTTGGGCTGGAGTATACATACTTTTTGCATATATTTCATTTAGTTATTTCATTTTTTTCCTTCAGTCCTCTAAGCTGGATGTTCATACTTCTCAATAGTTATCATTCGACTCTCATCTTCCCCATATAAGTTATAACTTACTAAAAATTGTTGCTCGTGCTTTCCTGATAATCCATCACTTACTTTTCCGTCTTTCGGACTTACAGATGGAAAAACCTGCAGAAGCCATACATTCTGCTCTTTATTCATCCCAACGCTTGCAATCACATTCGGGTGCAACGGTTGAGAATCGTGGTCCTGCATCAAATGCTAATCGAATCTTTCCATCTGATAAACCAGGGCATGCACCGAATTCGTACGGGAATTTTCAGTCAGCTGCAATGCTGGGTCATGGACCTGCTGCAAATTCTGCATCTTTACCTCATCAATTGCCTACAAGTGAGATCAAACATAGTGTTCACACCGGGTTAGCCACTAGTAATATGGGTAAAGACACATCTCCAGTGCTATTGCCGCGTGCTGAAAGGCCACATCTCAGATCTGACGGGAGGTTAAATGCTGCTTCTCATATTCAAGGTAACATTTGTTTTTAAGTTTTGAAGTGCTTCACGTTTATTAACAGTTTGAATTTTTACACTAATACAAGCAAGTTTTCTATTTTTGGTTACTTAATGAAGAAGTTACTTAAAACATGCATGGGGATGGAATATTCAACGCGATAAGTAAATCCATTTCATGAATATTACTCTGTAGCTTTTTTGTCCAATGGTTAATTGGTTATTGTTTCATCTATAAAATATGCATGATAGTGTTTTTGTCTCAGTACACACATCACGCAAGGCTCGTCCGTTTTTGGACATGGAGGGTCAAATATGTTTGACCTTTCTGTGCATATTCGGTTTCTGATTGTATTTTTTGGTTAGTTTAGTTTTTGAGTAACATCACCTTTGCATGCAGATCACCCAACCTTGAGGCCGCCTAACTGGCCGATGGCGCCTTCATCACATTCAGCGGCTAAAGTGGGACCTGACATTGGGATTCCAGCACATTCATCGGTAAAAGTTGAGGGTGGTGCGGGTCACAAGTCAGTGATGGCCCACCAACCAACAACATCCAGACCTTATATCAATCAGGCTTCCTTTGGGAACTTGCCAAATGCACACCAGCATATTCATGGAATGAGTTTTGTTCCTGCACATCCTCCGAGTAGCCCCCATGCTGAAGTTGGTAAGATTGTTCAGAGGTTCCTACAACCCCAACTTCGTGATAGACCTGCTTGGACTCCACCATCTAGAGATTATATGAGCAAGGCACTGCCTTGTCAGATGTGCAAGTCTACAGTGACTGGTGTGGATAACATTCTTATTTGTGATGCTTGTGAAAAAGGGTATCACTTGAAATGCATTAATATGACTAATCCGAAAGGTATTCCCAGGGGGGAATGGCATTGTGGGAAGTGCTTATCACTAACATATGGTAAACCACTGCCCCCAAAGTATGGCCGTGTCATGAGGAATAGCAATGCTCCAAAGACCTCTTCAAATGCACTAATGGCTCAGCCATATTTAGACAAAAAAGTTTCTCGTGCAAGTGAGAAGTTCACTCAGCAGAAGGTGGCAGTCAATGAGAATGCTGCTTTACAAAATCCTCCTTCTCTAGATATAGCAAATAGAGATGACACTGTGTCAAGTATTGATAGTAGAGCTTCTTCGGAATCCTTTCCAAACATTATGGTGAAATCTTTTAGTGATAACGGTGCTTCCCCTGTTTGCGCATCAGCTGATAAACCTTTCCAAGGGGATTCAGTAGATTTGAAACAGGAGCCTCACGCAACAACTAAGACAACACTGATCTCATCTGACCATTCACACCCATCTTCGAACCTCCCAAATGTAGATCATGTTCCACCAAATAGTGAAGAGGTTTCATTGAAAGGGTCTACTGACAATCACCTTGATGTTGTTGATTTGAAGGAGTCTTTTGATAGGGCTTCTTTCAGGACCAGTTCCATTGGTGTTGCTAAAGGAGACGAACGAGAAACTGTAGAAGCAAATACTTCTGAAGACTCTAAAACCTGTAATGGGAGCATGAAAGACAATAATTCTTTATCAGATTGCTTAAATAATGTTGATTGGGTTGGCATCAAACATACAGTTGAGGATGAGAAAGATTATTATGAAGCATGCCGCATTAATGGCTGTACGTACCGTCTCAAAGACTATGCTCTTATTCGTTTTGAAAATGATCGACTGATTCCTTCAAAGATTCAGGTGAGTGATCAATTTGATATTTCAAGTAGCATAAAGCCAATTAGTTTTGGACAAGCAATAATCAACGTGCATTTAGAAAATCTCTTCATTTACTGGATTTGTTTTGTACATCCCATCGAACTTCATGTGCACTATTCAAATTGGATGCCTGAATCATCATTGATACCAAACTATGATATCTATTTGCAATTTTGTTTTATTTGAGTCCCATCAATCCCCTTGGACATAGCCAAAACAAGATTTTAGAATTTCAAGTCATTTATCTTCTTGAAACACTTGTGTGGAGGCATCTTATTTTTTTGCTGCTGCAAAAATGTGTGTGTGTGTGTGTGTTTTCTTTTTCCTATGTAGCATTTCAAGGACTTGCTAAGAAATTCTTGCTTTAAACTAATGTGATACTCGAAATATATTGATTGACAAGACAATGCTTAATCTGCAGACTATGTGGGAAGATACCAAAAGTGGAACCAAATGGGTTACTGTTACTAAATGTTACTCTCCTAGAGATTTGCCAGCATCTGTGGGGAGGCCCTGTAGTCTGGAAAGCAGCGAGGTATGACTCCCAAGGTTCAAATCCTTTTCTTGAGCAACATAAATTTTATCTTGCGGTCTTGCCTGCCAGAATTTGTTTGGAATTAATATGAATGCAATTAATGAATGGGGTCTAAACAGCTTTTCACAAAAGACTAAAAATGACCTTTTATATCTCATGCACTTTTGTGGAAGTCATGTGTATATTTGATGTTTTTTTGGTTGTGCTCATAGTGTGAATTTCGTTACCAAAGTTTAATAAAAAGCTATCATGTCCGCATTTGACTAATGATGCTTCAAGACCTAATTCCTTTAACCATTCTTCTTTTTCTCTTTCAATCATGAGATAAGATTTTACTTTTGAATTAATAAGTGCTATTAACTTCCTTGTATAATTTGAACAACAATTTAATAATTTAATAGATGAATCAATAAAGACCAACATCTTCATCACCTTAATATCAATTATATTTGGCTTGGTGACATAAAATTTATAACAACAACCAAACCACTAAAGTCCCACGTTTAGGGCTGTGGTACCCTTATCTGCAAAAGGTAGAGTCTATTTTCAATTTTCAGGCATGAAATTTATAGCGATAGTTAATTGTTTAAAATTAGATAACACTAATTTCATGCCAAAGATTGTAGTGATCAAGCTTTACACCAAATGCCATTCCTAGCACAACATTTTTACAAACGAGTAGTGGTAGAAATTTCATTAAACTGCAATGAGTTGCAATAGTTTCTCTTAGTCGTGTATTCATGTCCTACTGCATCATTACATCATTAATATTGTAAGTCAACATGGATGTGATGATTCTTCAATATGGGGGGAGGTCACAAGTTCAAAACTCTTAGTGTTTTAATAGGTTGAGAAAGTATGTATGAACAGATACTACAATTGTAATAGAGTTAGTGCTAAAAAAACTATTATTTTAAGAAACATGGATGTGATGTATTTTATGTATCACATTCAAATATACTTCTCCCTCCATCTCCTAGTACACCGTGTATTCCTTAAATGGTAGTCTCAGAAAATAAAATCAAACTTATAATTGTTCTTTGGAACAATTATCCAGAACAAATGTTTGTTTTTCCTTTTTTTTGTTTGAAATTTTACTTAAATTTTTAAAATGACTTTGTACGTTTATCATTCCTTTTTCTTTTTTGTTAAAGATTAGTCTTACTTTAGAAAAAATAAAACAAAATAGATATAAAATATAATGAAAAGGAGAAATACAACTAAAACTATTAATAATAATCAAATAAAAAGGTAATCAATAAAACCGAATCTCTAACAAGTAAGAAATAACAATAAAATTTTATGGAGTGGTGGGTTCTAACATTTACGTACTATATGGAGTAAAAAATGAAAATCAAATTAAAAAATAAGAAATAAAAATAATTCTTATTACTTCTTCTCATTGGAAATGAAAATAAAAATAAGAAATAAATCATTTATTTTCTTAGTAAAACCCTAAAGAAAAAATTTATTTTTCTTGTTCTGAAATATGGAGTAACTAAAATAAAATTACGATTATTAAGAAAAATACTTATTTTATTTCTTACTTTTTATTTTTAGTTTCATTTTCTATAGTTTTAATAATAAAATAATCTTTAATTTCTTGTTTTTTATTTGTATTTTCATTTTTTACCAACACCAGGAAGTAAAACATTAATAGTCCGTACAGTGCCTAAAACGTTAGAACCTACTATTATGTGTACTTTTATTTTTATTTCTTATCAAGTTGAGGTTAGTTTTTATTGATTGTTTTTTATTTCATTATTTTTTATGGTTTTAGTTGTTTTTCTCATTTTTTTTATATTTTATATCAATTTTTATTGATTTCCGAATTATGAAATGGAGGTAGAAAATCATTTTAAAAATTTAAGGGATTATTTAATATATATATATATATATATATGTATACACACACACATATACATAATTCCACCTTTCTTTTTGCGGCGCAAAACATGAAATTTCCCTTAACAAATTGTTAGCAGTTAAACGACGATCCAAAACTCGCATATTTGAGTAGAAATGAGATTATTATGCATCACAATGAAAAGTGGAATTATTTTTGAAAGACCGAGTAAGTTGGGATTATTCTCGATAATTTTTCCTTGTTCTTTATTGTGTGACCTTGCTATTAAAATTTTCACATTTCTCTTTCCATCTTATTAACTACTTCCTATGTACTTCTTCCCTTTTATACATCAACTACCAATTAAATATAGTACGGAGTAATATTTATCTCTTCTCTTTCCATTTTACCCACTATTCTTATTTAGCAAGTCGAGAGATATTATGACATTTATACGTTGGGACATTGGGCATTTAAAAAAAAGAGTTAATAGTTGTCGGATTTGGGTAGCCAACATCAATGTTTGTACTGCGTTTGAGAGTTAATTTGATTTCATCGAAAAACCATTTTTTTAAAAAAAGTACATCTCTATTACACAATCAGCAGAAACAACATACCTTATTACAAATCAACAAAGCACCAGCAAAACCAACTACTGCTATCTACCATAATTATCAGCAAAAATAGAGAAAAACCAAATTTCTCTAGTCTAGAAATCTTTTTTGACTTTGGTACATTGATATAATATACTCTTGTTCAAGTTACCCCATAAAAGTTCTATTTTTCTCATGTGCAACCTTTAAATTTTGGTGATTAAAACTAGTGGGAATACGAGCTTCTCCCTTGACTAGAGTCGTGGGACGTCCACTCCCCAAGATTCGCAGGAAAGCTCACCTAGGTTCCAAGATTCATTAGGTTGAAAAAGTATGACCAGATACTACATACTAATAGAGTCAATAACATTAAAAATCTAGTGGGAATAATCAAATATAGCTATATTTTCAAATTTATTGCTAGGTTAACTTAATTTAATATATTGAACTTGTCGACATGCTTTTTATTATTTTTAAACATTTAATACGATGAGAATAAACATCTTTTCTTCAAATTTGAATCTTTTAAGGGACAAAAATATGTTGGGAGAATGACTTTTTTATGAGGCGAATGGAGTATGTTTTCCTATGGCAGTTCAAAATAAGGCAAAAAGAGTATGTCTCAATTTATCACTAAAATGAATTTGCTGAAGATTAACATGGAGTACCCCAGTTTGTTATGATGTCCAAAGCAAAGAAAAAGTTGGTGGAAATTGCACTTTGGTCCCTAAATCATATAACAAGATAGAAGCTTGGAAACTTTATATTGAAAGGGTCAATGTGTCATATTTAATATATACTCCGCATAAGTTTTAGTTTTAATATACACACACCCATAAAGTTTTTAGGTCTTTGGAATTTGGTGGGTGTTCAACGTAGAACTACATACACAAATTATCAGATGAACAAGGTAATAACAAAATTAATTTGTGCTCAAGGTTCATTAGGCTTATGAAAATAGTTTGGGAGTAGTCCATCTTGTTAGATGTTCAATAATGGAGGCCTTAAGGCTGTTATATGATCTATCTCGAGAGACAAAGTTATCCGTTGTATTGGCTTGCATACATATCATTTATCATATCCTGGAAGTTTTAAAAATAAAGCATTTTAAATTCTCAATTGCATTAATGAATAATTATGTAATGGGAGTGTACATGCATTTTCTCCCTCTTTAAGCAAATTTTTATTGCAAGTAAAATCATATCATTTAGCGACATGCAGTGTTAGAAATTGCATTACGAAAGCCCACCTCAAAGTGCTCCTCGGACTGCCTTGCCCAACATTAGTTTTTGAGGCATAAGATGGTAGCCTCATGGCATTCACCACATGGCGTACACCATATGGGGCGACGTAGGTGTGCGCCTAATTTTTACAAAGAACAATTGCTTTACACGGGTGTTTCCAACTTTTTCCTTTTTTCTTCGATAATCTCATTCATCAACTTCTTGTGGTGTGCCAATGGTTAGGGCAGTGACTACAGAGTTCTGTTTCTATTTTATACAAACCTTTTTCCTGTTAGCGTATTTCTTTAGTACATTTAATAAAATATTTGATTTGGTTTATCTTTTTTATTACAAAGATAGTTGTGTCTTGTAAATTTTGATATTTTTAAATAAAAATTTGTAGTTGATCTATGTTACTCATGCTATGTTTTGTCTTTTAAGTTCATTTTATTTTAAAAATTTCTAGATCTATAATTAATTAAATATTAGAATCACTTTTGTTTTGTAATTACAAAGGTAGTTTTGTTTTTCATATACTATATCATTTCTTTGTGTGAAGGTACTCCAATATTTTTAATCATTTTTCGATAGTGCAATATTTGGCCGCTTGAACTTTTGAACTCTTTGTTGTGACATTGTTGTTGTCTTGTTGGGTTCAAGTATTAACTTTGTTGGAGTTTAATGATTGTTCTGTTATACGGAGTATATGTTATAAACTCCCTCTGTCCCATTAAATGGTGGTTCCACAGTCCACTTCACTATTCATTGGGTCAATTTATATCTGTCTATCCTTGTATATTTCCGTTGATCATTTGATAAAATAAAGTAGTCAAGCCATTTTTATGCAGTATTTAAAAATATATTTTTTATTTCTACATCAATTTTCAAATTAATTGAAAATAATTTCAATATCGTAAACCGTAAATGGAGCCCTTTTTGGGATGGAGGGATTATATGTTGAAACTTTAAATGTATTATAACTTATAAAATGAGGCTTATGCCTCTTTGCACCAAAAGGTTTCAGCCTCATGCAATGCTCGACAACCTCATCAATTACGCAATAGACAAATTTGAACATTGGGTACAAAGTCCTTTCCAAATATTTATAAGAGCATTTTTAATTTTTTCTTATTGTTTTTTGTGTGCGTTGCATTTCCTTGTATTTTATTATTGTACACCCTCTTTCCTAATAGAACGTTCATACGAGTCTAGTAGTCTTAGGCATGCTTATTTAGAGGGTCATATTGCGTCCTTAAGGTTTACTACCTCTGGAGTATTCGTTTAGTTTGATTTTTTCTAGTCAAACTGGACAAACTTTAATTATCAATTACATTAAATTTTCATTACATATTAATACAGTGCAATATAATTTTTATTTATTCGATGATCAAAGTTTATCCAATTTGACTCAAAAAAACAAATTGGACGGTACTCTGGGACGGAAGTAGTATGCAAAAAGGAGAAAAAAATTATCAACCTCGTAGTTCTCTCCTAAAAGGAATTGCAAAGTGCACTGTGACTCTGTGAGATACAAAAAAGGAAACAATGGGGTTTATCATCATACAGTGAGTAATACACGCATCATCAAATAATTTTTATTAAAATTTATTCTATTAATGTAGATGAGTAGATCTATGATTGAATAATTTTTTTTATTATCTCAGTCATCTTGGCTGTACAGGCCCAGATGGCCATTCCATCCATATTTTAGCCATTTTTGGTCGAGATGGAACACGATGAAATTCTTTATGTTTTCAAATAACATAATGTTTTGGCCATTCCGGAAGGAACAGAATGAAATGTATAACTTTGATTTCTGCTGGAACAGAATGTAATCAGTAACTTTAATTTCGGACGGATGAGGTTATGGTCTCAGTTTCGGAGACCATCTTGTTATTTGGTTATTATTGGTGCCACAAGGATACTTCCTGATTTATTTTTCATTCACAAACTTTTTGAAAAATATTTCTATTGATGACCTACCATGGATATTTTTGCTTGCTTTATGCTGTTGTTGACTTGTTCTCACCAGTTAATAGCTGCTATCTATTGTGGAATGTCTTGAAGAACAAATTGACATTTTATTCACAAGAGCTCTTATTAATCAAATAAAGTGGTTGCTTTGTTTTAGGTCTATTTGTCTAATTTTGAGAGTTCTGTAATGGCTGGGCTGATTCAAGGCCCTTGTGAAGTTCTTCCTTCAAGCCGGTTCGTTGAAGAAAGAGAAAGGAGAACTCTTGCTGGAACAGAGCAAAATGCTTCAGGACCGCTTTACCTTTGCAAGTATGGCCATACTGTTTCTTTCATGTGCATTTTTGTTTCTGAATTCAATTTATCACTTGCACTGTGATGTGGATGGGGTCCACAGCAGTGGCATGCAGCTTAGTTTAGTCCCCTATCCCCCCTAATACGTGCTTTATGCCAATTTAGGTATGTTTGTATCCCAGCAAATGAATTTGAAAGTAAAAAAAAGTGTCGATGAAGTTTATTTCTGTACTGATTTCACCTCGAAAAATGCAAAAGAGTATGATTGTACGTTGGAATTTTTTGTACATATGTTTAGATTTCTTATTCTTTATATAGTAAACATGAATAGGAAACATGCATATCATTAAATATCTAAACGGACCCTTAGAGTTTCTATTTGAGTATCACTTGCTTAATCGTAACTAAGGACATAAAATTGGGGCGGTGTTTTAAAAAGTTACACATTCTCCACTACTAGCTACTGTTGCTTGGATAGCAGTATGTACACACTGATATCATTGCTATATTATAGTAATCTAGTAGCATCTTAACTAAAAAAACAGTTGAATTTTTACCCCTCATTTTTAATTGGCTTATTTATTAAACTGTAACCAACATGCTAATGAAATGCTGATCCCAGGAAGAATTTCCCAAGTGGCTGAAATGCTCGTGTTTTTTACCTTGTGTTTTGCCAAATGTTAACTGCAGGTGGATTTTTGATGAAGCAAAGGGCCTATTCCGTGACGTTTCCTGTTAATCGTGCTCAAGTCATGTGTTCTTTCCTTCCCTCTGTCCCAGGTATATATACCATTACCACACATGTTACTGCTATACCTCCCCCCTTTTCACTGTCCATAAACGCAAATTTTTACTTCCAGTCAACCGGGCAGCCCTTCTGAACTGCGGGTTTCAGAGATGGAGTTGCGCGTACGATATGATTCTCGGAAGGAAGTGCGCGAATTCACTTTCATTTATGGCTTGTTAGTTTAGTGAAATGTAGAAAGGAGGTAGATTTGGTCTTTCTTTAGATTAGATGCCGCCATCCCAATTCGCTTATATTATGCTAAGGTAATTTTATTCTTTTGCTAAACAGATTTTTTTTTTTAAAATTTCTGTGAGCATTGTTTCTTCTACAGCATAATAGTGTATATACTGTCAATTCAAACGTCTGTTGCTGCCCATTGGGCAATAAATTCCCGAGGCGTGGTTAAAAAAAAAGAGCAATACACGTTGAGATTTCGGATTTCCTATCAGAATTATACTCTCCATCCATTCAATTTATTTGTTCATTTTTCTAAAATGATTTAAATTTGAGAAATGATGGCAATATTCACAAAAACAATGCTGAATTAGCCTATGCTTCATTGATGATAGCAGTATAAATACGAATATACGATGAATGGGAGATGTTTTAGATATCAAGCAGTGAATTGGTGATTTAAAAAAAAAAGGGTAGTGAATTGGTGGTTTTAAGGTCCATGTTTAATATGTGAACTTACTCACATAATTCTAATTTGGTGGCCCAGAATCTTGAAAAAACTCATTAACATTGAATAGATTAAAAATAATAAGGTCAACAAAATTACCATAGACATAAGGTTCACCAAAGTATTTGTCCTAGATATCTTTTCAAAAATACTCCTTTTGTCTTAAAAAGCGTTTCATGTTTTGAATAATGTGTAAAATCTTAACTATATTAAAATGTTTTTATTTTAAGTTGGTGGAAAATGTATGTTATCGTGACGACAAGCAGACGAATGGGCCCTGGAATAAGAACACGCAAAAGAATATGAATTTACGAAGTATAAACTATTCGAATTTTACAATAACGAAATTGATAAACGAAAGCAGCACTCGGGCAGCAGCATAAACACAATGATGAAGTCCATCATAGTAGAGAAGCACTGGGATTACCTAAAAAAGGAATAAGAAGGAAAATAGAGTCGCCAAAGCATTCGTTAAGATAGTAGTGCCTGCATACCGCAGTGATAATATGGACGCTCTCCTCTCAGGATAATAGTGTTCTTGCACAACTCAGATGTAGGGTTTGCAGGTGTGCCTACAAATGATGAACCACGGCATCTTCATCAGTTTGATCTTTTTTGTGTTTATTATATGTTTCATGGTGTCAGTTGACTTAGTCCTAGCCACTTGAAACAAAATGAGTTTTCTGGTTTAGTTTGTAAAAGTTTTTTTAAGGCATAATTTGATTTCATTCCATCATGTCGATATATCCTCTCTGGCGTGAGGACATCTTTGAAATTGCTAAATGGTCTTTATACCACTTTGAGCTTAATTATGCAACCTATTAGCCTTTATTTTCTTAACAATAGCACTTCCACAATGCTCATTGCTCAATACAAAATTAAAGTTTGAATATGCCACCCTTCTTCTATATTGCTTCGCTCATTCCTGGCAAGGAAAAATTATCCAAAATAATCTCAATTTTACCCGGTCTTTCAAAAATAATCGCACCTTTCAGCGTGATGCATAATAATCCAAACTTTACTAAATTTTGCGAGTTTTGGGTCGCCGTTAAGTTTCTAACGGAGAGTTAACGGAAATGTCTGTTTTGGGCAACAAAATGAAAGTTGGGATTATTTTTTATGAATTTTCATTTTTTTTGAACTTTTCATTTAAATTTTTAAAATTACTTTCTACCTCCATCATCATTTCTTTTTCCTTTTTTAAAGATTAGTCTTAGTTTAAAAAAATAATAGATAAAAAAATAAAAAAATGAGAAATGTAACTAAAATGATACAAAAATAATAAAATAAATAAGGTTATTAATAGAAACTAACTTGAAATTGGTAATAAATAAAATAAAAATATACGGGTGGGTTTTAATATTTTACGTACTATACAAAGTATTAACGTATCACTTCTTATTTTTTAGAAAAAATTATCTGCAACAATTCCAACTTAACCGGACGGCTTGTTCTTTTAAAAAATAAGTAGTACATTAAGACTTTGTATAGTGTGTAAAATGTTAAAACCCACCATTCCGTATATATTTATTTTATTTCTTACCAGTTTCCGTTTAATTTCTATTGATTACATTATTTCATTAATTTTGTATGGTTTTAGTTATTTTTCTCATTTTCATTGTTTTTTTATACTCCGTATATTTTTTTATTTTTTCTAAGGTAAGAATAATCCTTAAAAAAGAAAAAGAAATGGAGGTTGAAAGTAATTCCAAAAATTTAAATAAAAATTTTAAAAAAATTTAAAAAACAAAAATTCATCAAAAATAATCTCAACTTTCATTTTGTTGCCTAAAATAGGCATTTCCGTTAACCCTCCGTTAGAAACTTAACGGCGACCCAAAACTCGCAAATTTCAATAAAGTTGGGATTATTATGCATCACAGTGAAAGGTGGGATTATTTTTGAAAGACCGGGTAAAGTTGGGATTATTTTGGGTAATTTTTCCTTTTATCAAATAGAAAGTCCCTGAATTAAAAGAAGATGAAGGTAAAGCAAAAAAGTAGTTTTCTTTTGGAGTTTTTTTTTGCGTCATTTGCCCTCGAACTCTTTAAAAGTTTAACCAATGGTCCATGAACTTTTAAAAACATTACATCAATGGTCATTTCGTGTCAGGTTCGACACTGTGTTAGTCGTTAATCACGCGTTCATCAATATACTTATCGGAGCTTGATGAAGATCGCATAGATTGATGAAGAGTTTGATCGTTTAATGAAAAGCTTGATCGACTGATATCCGGGTTTCAAGTTTGTTACTGAAGGCTAAAAGCGAGAAGAATTATTTAGGGTTTTAAGAGGTTTGAAATTTAGAAGATAATGTTTGGGAAAATATATTGCAGAACTCACGTTTGATATATAAATTTAGATCAATCCATACTTTCATTGGATGACCATGTGATTAATGTACTCCCAAATATAATGTGGCACAGATGGTACATTCATGCAACAGTTTTAAATGTTTATGAGCCATTGGTACAAATTTTAATTTCAGAGGGAATCCGCACAATTTTTTAAAAGTTAGAGAGTAAATGAGGCAAAAATTCTTTAAGGTGTGATCTCCAACGCCAGTCAATAAAGGCATTTAAAATGATCCCAAAATCCGCCCTGCCCCAACTCCTGCCACAGCAGCATTCTACTATCTTTCTGCCTCATCCCAACGAGGAAGAAGAAGGGAAAAGGGGGCGGGGTGGGGGGGATCCACAGCGAATCTAGCGCGGCTTTGCATCGCGGTTGGGGTGAGCGGCGCGGCAGAAGAGGTGGAGCGGCGGGCGAGCCACGATTCCTTCTCGGCATTTGTGTGGCGTAGCGGAATTTACTTTGCTATAAACGCTCTAAAGCTCGTTTCCAGTACGTCCCTGGGGGACACGTGCCCGGGCAGCCCCCCCATCTCCTCGGCCTCTGATCATATTATGAAGAATAATATATGCATACATGATATTCCTCATTTTTGTTTGAGACTAACACTTGGACGGATGATCTATAATGTTCCACTTACCTTTCAACACCCCGAAGGCTCGTTCGATATCTTTTCTTGTCGCCTTATGAGCTTTTTTGTTTTGTAGTTCTGGCATTTAAGACCAACTGCATCTGAGAGAGTGTTTACAATTGTGAAAAAAATTGAATATATTTTATCGACAAGATAATATTCACGCTTGTAAAGCATTTCTCTAAGCTCAAAAAATGAGTCGGGTGTAATCTCATTAACCTAATCGTTAATGAGAGAGAAGGCTTGAAGCACATGTTTGAAGCTCAGGTTTGAAGCCCCAAGGCTTCAAACCCATTTTGTTATGGTCAATATCTACATCCTTTGCCCGCCGTTTGATGTGCATCTCGTTTTTGTTTCTAAAAAAATTGTACTCCAAACTTTTGTGCGCATCTTCTAATGTGGTTGTGTAAAATTAGAGGTGGAAATCGGGTCAAGCGGATCAGTTCCGGAATGGATTTTTTGGTTCTGATATCTTTCAGATGTATGTTATAATCAATTCGGTTCGGTTTGGATCAGTTAAATTTCGAATCATATTTGATTCGGTTCTCTACATTTTTCAGTTTGGGTTCGGTTTTGAGTCTGTTCAGACACAGTTCAGATAGATTTTGGTTTGGGTACCATTTGTATCAGATATATTTTGGTTTCAAATCTAGTTTGGTTCGGATGTATTTTTGTTTTGGATATGTTTCAGTTCGGATATATTTTGATCTAATATATTTTGGATATGTATTATTTTCTAATTAAAATTTAATTATACATGCTTCTTTTTTTGTTTTATTATATTTATGAATCTATCTTGAATTCAACACCTCATATTATTTTATATTTTTTTTAATTATACTATCTTCACCCTAAACAATCTTTCTTTTTTGACTTTTTAGTCATATTTTACAAATTTAGACTACAAGTTATGAAATAATATATATTTAATTGTGATATAAAATTAAAATAATTAAATTGATTTTGACATTTAATTTTGATATATCAAATTTGTATCACATCTACTAATATCTTTATGTATATAAATGCAAAGATAAAAGATAAATTCAAATAGTGTTACGCTTCAATTGAATACAATTTAGTAAAAATTGAGTGAAATTAGGTGAAATTACCTAAATTTTATTTAATATTACTCCTAAAAATTGATAGAGTTGAATGCGATGAATACAATTGAGTGTAAATTTTATAAATTATTTGAGTGTTTTTGGTGTAAATTAGATAAAATTAAATTCAATAAAGTCAAATATAATTAATTTTATACCTAAATTTAAGGGTGTAGATCAAATTTGAATATGACAACACTAAAAGCTGTCGCTAAAAAGCTTTTTCAAAACGATAACACTAACTTCTAACCTTATTGACTAATATTGGGTGAATTGGTTTGAAACTAATCAAATTAACCTCTAAAAATTACGGAAGTTTTATTTATTTGTGTGTTTTCATTAATTATTTGATAAAATCTTGTAACCTCTTATTTTGTGAAACTTTTGACGCATTTCTTTAAATATGTAAAAAGTTTTTTTTATTTCTATACCAATCTTTAAATAAAATAAATTTAAAATACTTAAAATTTTGTTTTATTTTGCGTTATGTAGCATTCTTTATGAGATGGAATGTGTTTTTTTGTACTTTCCCTCCTTAATCTTATCACTTTTCTTACGCCACCATTCAACAAATTTCTCAATTTTCACACACCTTCAACTCTCAGACCTAATTTCTTTTAACTGATGCTTCATCTTATATTTCCAATATTTTATTACCTTTGATTTTGTTAATAATAAAAAAGCTGGGTCACTTTTTTCATCCCATATTTTATATGTATAACTTTTGTGCAATTTCTAAATATAACAAATTTAAGACATGCGATTTTGTAATTTTTTTAAAAAGACAACAATCCATTTTATGAGGGAATGAACAAGTTATATTTTCGGATATTATCGGTTTCGGATCTAACCGGTTTCGGGGTTTATCAGTTTTGGGTATTATCAATTTCGGATCTAATCGATTTTGGGTTTAACCGATTCGGAGATGATCGGTTTCGGATCTAACCGATTTTGAATTTAAATCGGATATGAATTATTTAATTCGATTTCTGTTTGGATCATTTCGGGTTTTTGATTATAGATCAGGTCTTCACTTTTCGAATCATTCCGGTTTTGGATAATTCAGTTCGGGTGATCGATTCCGTTTCTGTTTTTTTGCCAGGTCTATGTACAAGACCTTTGACCTCATACCTTGTGTCCTGAACATGATTACTTCAAAGTTTATCATGTGTGTGCTTCAAACACTTTGAGGGTAGGGTTTTACTGCTAAGGTAGTCAAACTCGAGATTCCACATAAGATCAATGTACGAAGTAAAAATTGTACTTGTAAATCGTGAGATCGTGGCATGTAGAGCTCTTCCATACTAGGTCTCGACCAAAAAAAAATACTAAACTTAAGGATGACGAATCCTACCGACCTGAAGGATACCCACCCCGCCCAACCCATTGTAGGAGATAAAAACTCGAAATAATATGGGTGATAGATGAAATACAATGTATTTTTTCTATATATTGAGATCAACATTTAAAAACTTTGACTGAGCAAAGTGTATGGAAAAAGATTAAAATAAAAGTAAAACATTGAAAATATACCAATGTAGAAATTCTATGTTTTTATTTCTGAAATAAGAGTTAAAATATATTTACAATGCCAATCATGACTATATATTCTACGTAGTATAAAAGTATTGTGAAATATCTTTATATGCAAATTTTTATTTTGGGATAAAAATATAAAGTTCCAATCTTGATACTCCCTCCGTCCTATATCTTTCTTTCCGTTGCGCAAAACGAAGAAAAATCCCAAGTTTTTTCAATCTATTTTATTTAAATATTGGTATAGAAATAAAAAAATAAAACATACATATTTAAAAAATACATCAAAAGTTCAACAAAACAAGTGGTGACAAGAATATTTTATTTTATCATATAGGCCATGAAAAAACACAAATAAATATAAATTCCCGTGAAGTTAGAATAGTGTTCTGGGGGGAAGAAAGTTTTAGGACGGAGGGAATATTTTTTTAAAAATATTTTACCATATTTTTTCTTCAAAGGATAATGAAAGATCATTTCAATTTCAGGAGGGAGGGAGTACCGACTCAGGCTCGCAAAAACGGATCGAACTTAAATAAGAAAAATACTCCGTAACCTAACTTTACCACTTCAGTGTTTTACGCTCGGTGCTTACGTCGCTACGCGATAACGCGAGTCGCCGCCGGTCGGCCTGGTGCTGAAGCAGAAGGTTCATCGCAGAAAACCAATCAAACGATTGCTCAATCTCGTCTTCATCTGGCGCGTCCCATCCACAAAGGAATTTCAATCGTGCCTTTTCTTCCGGTCCAGAGGTAAGATTGATTGTGTTTTTCGGTGTTTTGTTCAATTTTGTGTGATTTGGGTTTATTTTTGTTGGTATTTTGAATCGGAGGGTACTGTGTTCATATACGTGGATTGATGCTGATTCTACTTGCATTTTTTATCATAAGGAATTTGTAATTGAAGAGTGGTTTTTGTCCGACGATAATCAGGAATCCATTTTTTCCAGATCTTATGAGCGATTTAGATCACAATTCTGTGGCGATCCTTAGCCCCGTACGATTTGACTATTTGAATTGCGAGTTTGACTGCCTTGGCTTATAGTGTGAAATTAGCTAGGGTTTGACAAAGGGGTTTCTTTCTCAGGGCTTCAACTGTGGACTTATAACTAAGATTTTCTATTTGTGCATTCTGAATCTTCAAGTTTATCAAAACTACTGTTTCCGTGCTCCAAAAAGGATGTATTTTTTCTATCTGAGTTAATTTATTCTATTTTGTTCGTTTTTGTTTTATGTTGATTTTGAAAGATTACTTGCCAAATGACCCATATAACTGACATTGTCATTTTCCACGTTTGTGTATTTTGAAGCATTTGGTGCCTGCATGGTTTCCAACATGGTTACTCTGACGGATATTCTACCCCCGCCAAAGTCTCATAGCAGTTTGAACTATGACCACACAAATGATCCGTGGTTTAAGAACAGGTATAGCGCCACTGAGGCAGAAATAACTACAGTTATCAAGGCAAACCCGGTTCCCCCTTATTTAAAAAGGGCTGGATTTAGGCCATCTAAGCTCGAGGATTTTGGGGATGGAGGTGCATTCCCCGAAATTCATTATGCACAGTATCCTCTTGATATGGGGAGAAAGAAGGATCGTAATCCTGCAAGCAAGACTTTACCTGTTACCGTTGATGAGCATGGTGATGTGAGATATGATGCAATTGTGAAGCTTAATGAAAATTCCAAGAAAATTGTATATTCTCAGCATAAGGATCTCATTCCCAAGGTCGTTAAAGATGCAACCAACGAAGAAGAGATGGACAGTGATGAGAAGCAGAAGGTAATCGAGGACACTGCCATGGAGACAAAAGCGGCACTTGAGAAGATTGTTAACGTGAGGCTGAGTGCAGCACAGCCCAAGAATGTTCCCACACAATCTTCAGACTCAAAGTATATTAAATACAAGCCATCCCAGCAGTCTGCAGCTTTTAACTCAGGTGCAAAGGAAAGGATCATCAGGATGGTGGAGATGCCTGTGGACCCCTTAGAGCCACCAAAGTTCAAACACAAAAGGGTTCCAAAGGCTTCCGGTTCTCCTCCTGTGCCTATCATGCATTCTCCGCCTCGTCCTGTAACCGTGAAGGACCAACAAGACTGGAAGATCCCACCTTGTATTTCCAACTGGAAGAATCCAAAAGGTTATACTATCCCACTTGATAAGCGTCTTGCTGCAGATGGTAGGGGGCTCCAGGAGGTCCAGATCAATGACAATTTTGCAAAGCTGTCAGAGTCCTTGTATGTTGCTGAACAAAAGGCTAGGGAAGCTGTTGCCATGCGGTCAAAGGTGCAGAAGGAGATGATGATGAAGGAGAAAGAAAGGAAAGAGATGGAACTTCGTGAATTGGCCCGAAAGGCAAGATCTGAAAGAACCGGTGGTGCAGTTGCACCACCACCACCTCCTGTTGCTGCACCTTCTTCTGGAAGGGATGAAATGAATGTGGATGAAGATTATAGGAGGGATGCACCACCGAAAGAGAGCAGAGAAGAAAGGGAAGAGAGATTGAAGAGAGATAAGATCCGTGAAGAGAGGCGTCGTGAGAGAGAGAGGGAGCGAAGATTGGAGGCTAAAGATGCAGCGATTGGAAAGAAGAGTAAGATCACTAGGGACAGGGACCGTGATATAAGTGAGAAAATGGCCCTTGGTATGGCCTCAACATCAAAAGGAGGTGAAGTGATGTATGACCAGAGGTTATTCAACCAGGAGAAAGGGATGGATTCTGGATTTGCTACTGACGATGCGTATAATATTTACGACAAGGGTCTCTTCACTGCCCAACCCACACTCTCCACTCTCTACAAACCTAAGAAAGATGCAGATGCTGAGATGTATGGTGGTGCAGATGAACAACTGGATAAAATTAGGAAAACTGAGCGATTTAAACCTGACAAGGCATTTTCTGGAGCGTCTGAGAGGACTGGTGCTAGAGATCGACCTGTAGAGTTTGAAAAGGAGGAGGCCGAGGAGGCAGATCCGTTTGGGTTAGACCAGTTCTTAACTGAGGTGAAGAAGGGAAAGAAAGCCATGGACAAGGTTGGCAGCGGAGGCACCATGAAGCCTAGTGCAGGTTCCTCTCGAGATGATTATGACAGAGGATCTGGTAGATCGAGGATTAACTTTGAGAGGGGGCGTTAAGCATTCCTCTCTCTTTGGAACAGTCTGGCTGGCTAAGGTATTCCAAGCCAACAAAATTTCTTATGCAATTCAGTTCTGTTTTAGTATGCCAGGTAAACTTATTGAAGTTTTCCCCCTCCTTTTGAAGCTCTGCTGATGCTATCATAATAACACTTCTTTCCTTTTCAAACTCATTCTGTTAGTGTAAAATGTTCTTTAAAACAACCTTTTTTTTCCATACTGCAACTCCACAGGGACTCACTTACTTCTTGGATGAACAAGTGATTCTTTCTGCTGTTGTAGTTTAAATTATGTGCTTGGCACGCCCAAACTCTAGTATGGGAGACAAGCCCTGTGATTATTGTTCTTGGATAGCCAAAGAGTTTGCCTTCTTTGTCTAAGGTTCTCTCAGAAAATCAATACCCAGAGAACAGCTGTGTTACATTTCAGCTTTGTTTTGAACTTACTCTCTAAATACATGGATATTATGCTTGTTGTGTGAACCTCCATTTCACATCTCCATAGTTGGTATTCCCTTGCAAGGTTATTCAACATTAGCTATAGACAGAGTAGTTTTTTTTATATTTCTTTATTTTCTCAAAATTAAATCACATAACCATCCTTAAAAAAAAGTCTCATAACCAAATACTCGTTAAAACATATATTTCCTTCCACATTTCCTAAACCCAAAGAAAAATTTTTCCGTCCCGAAATGCATTGTCCTGTCACTATTCTGCTAACTTTGTTTATTTTCATTTTTCATTGATTATTTAATAAAATTAAATATTTTTGTCTTCTTATTTTGTTGAATTTTTTTATGTAATTTTTTAATGTTTGTTGTGTTTTTTATATAATGCAATTTGTTTTTTAACAAAATTCTGTAAATTAAAGATTAAACGTAATTTTTTTTATTTTGAACTTGATTGGACCAAAATATTATTGGCTAATTTTTAGATAGTGCATCTAGTTGCCAAATGTGTCATTTAGAAAAAAAATTGGATGTGATTATTTGTCTCGTCGTGTTCAAGATCAATTTTTTAACGTTTCATATTTTTTGAATTTTGATTATAGGCCATGTTTGGAAAACAGTTTTTTGAATAGTTTTTGGTATTTTCGATTGACTTTGGCTTTTTTTGACTAAGGGCATGTTTGGAAATAAGGTTAGAGATTAGCGTTAGCGTTTTGGATAAAGTTTTAACGATGCAGATTACATTGAAAACGCTAACGCTAAACGCTGTCTGTAGATAGCCTTTTCAAAACGCTAACGCTGTTCGCAAACAGGCCCTAAGCGAATGGCTAAAATCATTGTTTGGCTAATGACTTTTTTCACTTGGCATTTTGATTCGTAAAGCCAAAATTTGAAAAGCCAAAGGGAGTAGCTTTTGGACTTGACTCTTAGGAAAATTATTTTTTTAAAAATCATTTGTCTTGAAAGATATTTTATAATATTTGTAAAAAATAAAAATAAAAATAGAAGTTAAAAAAATTAAAAACTAAAAAAAAAATTAAAATTTAAAAATTTCAAGAAAAAATGAGATGAGAAAAAAAGTTAAAATAAAAAAAAGTTGTATATTAATAACTTCTTATGAATTAAAGGAAAGTAAAATTTAATACTCCATATAGTAAAGATTTTAATTTTTTCATGTTAAAAAATAAAAAACAAATATCGTGTCTATATATATATATATATATACGGAGTATATAGTTAGTTAAAGAATAGTTCCAACGCTAGAGGGGGTGAATAGTGTTTGAAACAAAAAATCACAAGAATTAAGACTTTAAGAGCGAAAGTAAAGGATAAGGAGAAGACACACCGATTTTCCACTGGTTCGCCACAACGTGTGGCTACGTCCAGCCTCCCGAGAGACTTTCTCGAGTTACACTATCAACGTTAAGCTTAACAGTGCTTAACGAACCTGTAAAACTTGAAAGTTTGAGTTACACGAACCTCAACGAATCTTCAAAGGAAACAATCCTGCCTTCGAACCAACAAGAAAATCACTTTCTCTTAACTAGTGTCTCAAACACAAACACACTCAAGAACACGACTCTCCTTTTAGAGTGGATGTTGAGTAAATTAATAACGCTCAAGAACACAACAAAAACTGTACAAGAGTGGCTCTCAAAAGCTATGAGAGATGTAGGAATGAAATGCAATGAAGGAGTATGAACTGTGAAGTAATTGGATGAGAAAAGCAGACTCAAACACCCCAATTTATAGTGAAAAATAGGCTCCAACGAGTGAGAGTTGATTTTGGGTGATTGACATAATTTGTGAGATTTAGTTTGAAATGGGCTCTGCTGAAAATAGGCCTAACATCGATGTTCAAGTCTTGAACATTGCTGTTGAGGCTAAAACTTTCAAACTGAAAGTTGCAACGGTCACCTCAACATCGATGTTCAAATGGTGAACATCGCTGCTGAAGGTGTTGACTTTCAAACATGGAAAGTTTCAGCCTTTAATATGAGTAAATTCCATAAAAGGTCTCCAGTTATAGGTCATTTTACATATTTAGTTCCTACATATAAAATATTTCTAATTTAGTCTCCAATTGTTATATCATTTTCCACGAATGGTTCTTTGTTAAGAACATGGATAAAATTGTATATTCATACTTCTCTCTCTCCTCAATTAAGCTTCTTCCCTCCTCTCGTACTCTTTCCCAAACTCGTCGCTGAGTTTGAAGCTCTAAACCCAAAACTGAAATGATCATTCCTATCTCAATTATTAGTCTTTCTAGTGGAATCTAAAATCAAAACCAATAAGTTTTATGAATGAGTTTTATTGGTTAGTCTTAAAAAAATTGCAAAGAAAATAAATATTAAAACTCATCCATGAAGGTTACTAGTTTCGAATTTGGGTTCCACCAGTTAGACAAACAATTGAGAGAAGAGTGATGATTTCGGTTTTGGGTTCAAAACTTCAAACTCAGCGACAGATTTGGGAAAGGAGTGCGAGAGGAGGGAGGAAGCTTAATTGAGGAGAGAAAGGAGTGCGAATTTACAATTTTATCCACGTTCTTAACGGAAATGTTAACAAAGGATCATTCGTGGAAATGAACATAATAATTGGGGACTAAATTAGTAATACTTGATATGTAGGGACTAAATATTTAAAACGACCTATAACTTGGGACCTTTTATTGAATTTACTCCTTTAATATCTTCTAACGGTCAGGTGCCAACATCGATGTTCACAAGTGAAGAAAGGAGTTCTTCATCCAAAGTAAGGAGTTCTTCATCAAGCTTATGATGCTAGTATTATCACATTGAAGAGGAACGTGATCGATACTAAGGCCATAGTCCACTAGTTGTTGCTTCATCCAAAGGATTTGAGCACAACAACTCCCGGCGGCAACGTACGTATTCCGCTTCGGTTGTGGATAACGCAACACTGACTTGTTTCTTACTAAACCATGAGACTAAAGAACTACCAAGCAAGTGACATGTCCCACTCGTACTTTTACGGTCCAACTTGCAATCGGCAAATTCCGAGTCAAAGTATCCAACAATATGAGACGAGGAGCCTTTTGGATACCATAGTCCAACGTTAGCTGTTCCAACAAGATATTTCATGATTCGTTTTGCTGCTGTTAAGTGCGATTCCTTCAGACATGATTGATACCTTGCGCAAAGGCATACGCTAAACATAATATCCGGCTTACTAGCGGTAAGATAAAGAATGGATCTGATCATACCTCGATACTTCTTGACATCTACTTTCTCACCTTTCTCATCTTTGTCAGGATGGTCGGATGTGCTCATATGAGTTGCCATGACTTTGGCGTTGTCAATTTCAAACCGTTTTAGCAGCTCCTTACAATACTTAGTTTGGCAAATGAAAGTGTCATCTCTCATTTGCTTTACTTGTAGCCCCAAGAAGAATTTGAGCTCACCCATCATTGACATCTCGAACTCACTGGTCATTATACCAATAAGCTTGAACCAAAGACTCGTTATTGAATAAGCTTGAACCAAAGACTCGTTCACCCATCTTGGAAAATTTCTTGCTCAATGACTCGTTAGTAGCACCGGAAATAATATCGTCTACATAAACTTAAACCAAAAGGATGTTATTGTTTTTACTCTTGATAAAAAGTGTAATATCAACCTTTCCCCTTTGGAAACCACTATCCAAAAGAAATTTACTCAAACGTTCGTACCAAGCACGAGGTGCTTGTTTAAGACCGTAGAGTGCTTTCTTGAGTCTGAAGACATGATCGGGATACTCAAAGTCTTCAAAGTCCAGGTTCTGATCAACGTACACTTCCTCTTGAATAAAACCATTGAGGAAGACACTCTTAACATTCATTTGATAGAATTTAAAATCCATAGACGAGGCAAATGCAAGAAGTAAACGTATAGCTTCTAAGCGTGCTACAGGTGTATAAGTTTCTTCAAAATCAATACCTTCTTCTTGATTGTAGCCTCTAGTTACAAGCCTAGCTTTGTTTCTAGTGATATACCGTTTTCATCTAGTTTTTTACGGAACACCCATTTCGTACCAATAATTGTACGATCATTGGGCCTAAGAACCAATTCCCAAATGTCATTTCGTTTGAATTGGTTTAGCTCCTCTTGCATAGCCAAGGTCCAATGTTTATCGTTTATTGCTTCGGAAATGGTTGTAGGTTCAATTTGAGAAACAAATGCCATGTATCCTACGGTGTCCCTAAGAGAGTTTCGAGTACTTACCCCTCGGTTTATGTTGTCGATTACCTGATCAAGAGGGTGATTTCTGTTTGTTCTCCACGCAATGGGAAGCTCGGTCTCTCCTTTTGTTCATGTTCTTCCTCTTGCTCTTCTTCTTCTTCTTCTTCTTGTTGTTGTTCCTCACCTTGGGGAGTTTCTTGAGTTGTCTCTCTAGCTCTAGTTTGTGGCTGTGTATTGGTGTTTGTATCCGCTTTTTCTTCATCATCTTGGATGTTTATTCTTTCAAGTCAATATGCAAGATCGTCACAAACATCCTTTCTCGCCAAGCGAGTATTATCCTCGGAAAACACAATATGAGAGGACTCCTCAACGGTCAAAGTACGTTTATTGAAGACCCTATAGGTCTTGCTTCGTAATGAATAGCCATGAAAAATTTCTTCTGTCCAACTTAGCATCAAATTTACCCAAGTTATCTTTTCCATTGTTATGAACAAAACATTTGCAACCAAAGACTCGAAGATGGGAAAGGTTTGGCTTTCTCCCTTTGTATAGTTCATAAGACGTTTTCATGAGTATGGGTCAAAGGACGGCTCGATTTAAAATGTAGCTCGTGATACTCACGGCATTCGTCCAAAAATACTTAGGGATTTTTGACTCATTGATCATAGATCTAGCCATTTATTAGAGACATCTATTTTTACGTTCCACCACTCCATTTTGTTGTGGTGTATGTGGGGCTGAGAAGTTATGATCAATGCCAAGTTTGTCACAAAAATCAAAAAATAAGTTTCGTTCGAACTCTCCCCATGGTTGCTTCTTATGGCTACGATGGTAGTGTCTTTTTCATTTTGAACTTTCTTTAGAAAATTTTTGAAAACATGAAATGCCTCACTTTTGTGAGTAAGAAACAAGGTCCATGTAAACCTAGAGTAGTCATCAATTAACAATCATAAATGTAAAGTAATTGCCACCGAAACTTTTGGTTCTAGAAGGGCCAAAGAGATCTTGGTGCAAATGTTGAAGCGGTCTAGACGTTGAAATAATGTTCTTAGACTTAAACGAAGCCTGAACTTGCTTCCCCTTTTGACATGCATCACATATGATGTCTTTTTCAAACTTAAGTTTTGGGATGCCAATTACTAAGTCTTGTGAAACCAATTTATTCAAAAGATTCATATTCATATGAGCTACCCTTCGGTGCCATAACCAAGTGTCTTCCTCTTTACTCATGAGGCATTTGGCAAAGTCGGAAGGGATTTATCTAAGTTAACCATATAAATGTTATTAATTCTATCACCACGTAGAATAACCTTATCGTCACTAAGGCGTTCTATTGTACATGACTTTGAATCGAAGGTCACACGGTTTCCCTTGTCACACAATTGACTTATGCTCAAGAGATTGTGTTTGAGACCCTTAACAAGCAAGACATTATATAGTTGATACTCAAATTCAAACCTATCTTCTTTCCATCATCAGCCCTTCCGTTTATAAGCATGCTCGTGGTTTCACCACCTCTGCCGCCTTGTGGGAAGCATTAGAAACAAGGTATAATTCAGTTTCCACCGCTCATATTTATCAACTTCGTGATAAGCTACATACTCTATGAAAAGGTACCAAATCTATGTCTCAATATCTTGATGAAGTCGTAATAATTCTTGCTGATCTTGATGCTTTACGTGAACACATTCCTGAACGAGATGTCGTCAATGCTGTTATCCGTGGTCTCCCTGCTAAGTATTCTTCATTCAAACAAAACATTCGTCTGCATAATAGCGACATCACTCTCAATTAACTCTCTGATGGCCTACTTTTGAGGAAATTAATCTTGAGATGGAGCAAAAATTGAATCTAGCCGATTCTTCCTCTAGAGGGCCGCATAATGCGCTGCTTGCTACAAACGGTCGAGGCCATGGTCGAGGAGGCTACCGCGATCAGACGCACGTGACAAAATATGCACGTGAGCTTCTGTGTAGAGCAGGGGTGTCTGAATGTCATTCGGCCGTTACTCCCATGACCACTAGATCTGTCCTCAAGCCTTCTGTTCCTTTCAAGGATCCCTCTCATTTCCGGAGTATTGTTGGTAGTTTGCATTATTTAGCTGTTACTTGTCTAGATATTCAGTACACTGTCAATCAGGTGTCTCTTTACTATGCATAACCCCAGTGAGAAGGACTACCACGCCTTGCAGCGTATCCTCCGTTATCTGAAAGGTAGTTTAAACCTTGATCTTCTTTTTTTGCAAGGGGGGATTCGATCTGTCTGTTTATTCTGATTCTGATTATTGGGCAAATGATAAAGATGATCGCAAGTCTACCACTGGTTACATCCTCTTGCTTGGTCCCAATCTCATCTCTTGGTGTACGAAAAAGCAGACCCGTGTTTCTAGATCTTCCGTATTGTGCTATTGCTGCAGGCGTGGACGAAGCTATGTGGCTTATCTATACTACTGATGCGCTGGGCATTCCTCTGAAAGCACGCTTATACTGTTGTGATAATGAGTCAACTATCTGTGTCACTAAAAATCCAGTTCTCTATGATCGTATGAAACATTTTGGTTCAGATTGTCACTTTGTATGAGATGAAGTAATGGAAGACAGTATGACTACACATCATGTTCCCTCTTTAGAACAATTAGCAGACATTCTCACGAAACCGCTTCCGCGAGTTCCATTCGTGTACTAATGTTCCAAGCTGCCCCTCGTCTCCGCTGATCAGCTTGCGGAGGAATATTAGGAAATAGATTATTATTAATTAATTTTTTCCTTATTGTATTTGTTTACTTTATTCACTATAAATACTGTAAGGATGTATTCTTCATTATTCAATAAGGGTCCGTTTGGTACACGGAATTGATGGAATTGGAATTGAATTGGAATTAAAATTCCATGGGATTCAATTCCATAGAATTGAATTTACCAATTCCAATTCATTTTTTGCACTACCAGTTCCAAATCCACATAATTTTTGTGCTACCAAACACGAGAATTGGAATTGAAGTCCTCAATTCCAATTCCATAGTTTGAATTCTGTGTACCAAACGGGGCCTAAGAGTAATTATTATCAAATTGTATCAATAGAACAAAATTTTCAATGTTTTTTGATATTGTTTTGAGAAAAAAACATAGAAATTCTATTTTGGTATTTTTTAATATTTTATTTCTACTTTGGCATTTCTTCCAATGATAGTGTAAGTTCATTTCCTTATTTGAATTGTAATGACCTCGAACGAGTAAAACAATTAATTTGAAAAAGACCAAATCTTAATAAATCTCCGCATACGTTAAAAAATTAACACAACAATTAAGATTAATGCCATAATTGGAAATACTACTCGTAGTAGGGAGTAACCACTATGGAAATTTAATTACACCGTACTAAAGAATCGTATGGAAATAAGGAAATGAATCTAAACGATAATTACATCATTTGACTTAATACACGCACAGCGTGAATTTAAATGGGAATAAATTATAATTGGCCAAAAAATTAATTATAGGCACAAAAAGTGCGTCTTCCTTTAAAAGTATGTGCCCTAAATAGGCAGCAAAAAAGCCAACCATATATGCAATCCTCTCTCTCCCCCATCACCATTCTTATATATATAAATCACATCTTCCATCTCCTTATTGTCTCTAGCTCTGATTTTGTTCCTCCTGCTCTAATCATCATTTTATTATCACTACTTTATTATTAAGATAAATAATTATACTTAATAGTATACATATACATAAATAAACCTCCTTTTAGTTTTAATATATATAGAATAATAGTAGTAATAATAGGTGTTTAGTGTGTGTGTGTGTGTGAATGATATGGGTGCCATAGGAGGAGACAACAAGGATAAGGTTGTTGTTGTTGGGGAAATGAAGCTTGAAAAGATGCTAAGCATGAAAGGTGGCAAAGGAGAGGGTAGCTATGTCAACAATTCTGAAGCACAGGTAATTATTATATATTGCATCCCATCAATCATTCCCTTTTTTCCGTCAAATACTCCCTTCGTCCCTGAAAACATGAGAGCTTTTGATTGTTAAGAGATTTAAGGCGAGTATATTTTTGTATTCAGTTTCAAAAAAGTTTTTTGGACACGATAGGTAAAAGCATGATTTGATGGATAGATTAACTGTGAATATGTGTAATGTGATAAGTAGATTAAGAATTAATATGTATAAATGTGATTTTTTAATAGAAATAAAAATATTTCTTAGAGGAATGAAAAAAGAAAAAGAAAAAGGGAGTATGTTTTGAATTTCCCAGACACGTACTTTCACTGTCTAACTTTATATTGTTCCTTGTTACAGTAGTACGGAGCGGTGATTTTATTGCTGGGTTTTTTTGGTCAAAAATAAACTTTTCATTTGAATATATAGAGAGCATATGAAAAATAGAGAGTTGCTATATCCCTTTTCCATTTTACCTTCTCGCTGTCTAAAAGATTGCCAGACCTTCATTTTTTTTGTCAAATTATGACATCTTTGACCACCGAATAAATATAGTTTAAAATAATTAAAAAATATAAAAATTTGATATTTCAAAATAATAGTTTAAAATAAACCCGATTTTATTATATTTACATTATAGCTAAATCACTTTTCTCATAATTCGTAATCAAATAATGTCAAAGTTTGACCAAAAAATTCAAACTGTGACAATATTTTAGAGACAGAGGGAGTATTAAATTTACTTCATTTATCATAAATAGTCAATTTTGTCCTTTAAAATACGAAAGAGAAAATTTAGATGCAACCCACCATTTTAGGATGAAATTTATCGGTTCAATATTAAAAAATATAGCAAAGAAAGAGTGGATTTAGCATCTTCCATAAAAATAGTATGTTATTTCTATTGTAGTTTTTTAAATATGTAATTATATGTTTAGTTCTTTGCCTTTTTAAATAAAATAATTTGAAAAAAATACCTTCAATCAAATAGATTTTTAGACGGAAATAGTATAACAAAACTTAGGATGGAGAACAATATTATTACCCTAATTCGATCATGTTTTTGAAGTGAAATAATTATTCATGTTAATTATGTGCAGGCAAAACATGCAAGGTCAATGGTCCCCCTCCTCAAGGAGACCCTAGACCTGGTCAAATTGGGCCCGCCGGACCTCCCCTTTGTCGTCGCCGATCTCGGCTGCTCCTGCGGCAGCAACACCATCCATGTCGTCGGCGTGATAGTCAAGCACATTGCCGGCCGCTACGAGTCCTCCGGCCAAGACCCGCCGGAGTTCTCCGCCTTCTTCTCCGACTTGCCCTCCAACGACTTCAACACCCTCTTCCAGCTTCTGCCGCCTCTTGCCAGCAGCGGCGGCGGCGGCAGCTTGGAAGATTGCTTGTCGTCCACCACCCACCGTTCCTACTTCGCCGCCGGTGTTCCTGGGTCGTTTTACCGCCGTCTCTTCCCCAAGATGTCCGTTGACTTTTTCTACTCGGCATTTTCTTTGCACTGGCTATCTCAGGTCATCTTCTAATTGCTATTTTGGCTAGGGAATAAAATAATTTAAGTACTTTCTCCGTCCCTTTAAACATAGGATGTTTTGATTTTGAAGAGATTTAAGAGGAGTGTATTTTGGTATTGAATTTCCAAAAATGTCCTTTGATGTGATGAGTAAAATTAAAATTTGATGGTTAGATTATTAGTAAAAGGTATGATGTGATAGGTAGAGTATGAAAAAATAAGGGGTAAAAATGATTTTTAACAGAAATATTTTGGGACGATAAAAAAAGAAAAAAGAAAGATTTTCAGGGAAGGAGGGAGTACATATAATGAAAAATAATGTAAATATATAATGATCCCTCGGTTATTTTAGAAATCTAATAAAAGGAGAATTTAGTTTGAGGACATGTATGTATATATGAAATGATGAAATATCAATGAATAAAATACAGGTTCCGGAGAGCGTGGCGGAGGGCGGAGGGGCGGCGTACAACAAAGGGAGGATTTTTATCCACGGCGGAAAGGAGGCGGCGGCGAACGCATACGGGAAGCAGTTCAAGAGTGACCTGGCAGGGTTCCTGAAGGCCAGGTCAGTGGAAATGAAGAAGGGTGGGTCCATGTTCCTGGTCTGCCTGGGGAGGACGTCCGTGGACCCCACTGACCAAGGTGGGGCCGGGCTTCTCTTTGGGACCCATTACCAAGATGCTTGGGATGATCTTGTCCATGAGGTAATTAATTATCATCCCAAATCATAATACTCTTTAGGACTTTAATTATCCATAATGTCATTTCGGTGGACCGCGTCAAGAGATTAGCGTTAGCATTTTGGATAAAATTTTAACGGTACGGATTACTTTAAAAACGGTGACGCTAAATGCTGCTCGTAGATAGCCTTTTCAAAACGCTAACGCTAATTTCTAATACTATTTCCAAACATGCCCTAGACCTAACTCATCTAACTACACTCCTTCCTTCATGCTTCTTTTGCTTGCCCTCTTTGTGTATCATCTCTTACAGCATGACTCTTCTTTATTTGTCTTTTTTTTTAATATATATCAACTAATCAAAATATCTCACATTTTTATTCATTCACTTTTTGTTTTGAGTCCACTTTTAAGTCTAACCATTTTTCACTCACGCTCTCATCTCCTTTCACATGAAACCTACGTGGCATGTGGTAATAAAGTCTCTTCAAGTCCCAACTACGGAGTAAAAAAATGGCCTAGCTGATAAACTTTATTTCTTAGTTAAAAAAAACAAGATCTCACATTACTTTTACGGGGTAGATTTTAGGCAATAATCAAAGTAAACAAATAAAAAGATAAAATTTGATTTTATTTATTACGCCATCCTTCCCACAAAACCTTTCTCTCTTTTTTCATCTGTCCCAAAATTTTTTTCTCATTTCTATTAAAAATAATCTTATAAATTTATTAACCTACCTACTACATCACACTTTTTCACTACTAATATATCCATCACATCTACTTTTACCTATCACATCCAAGGATATTTTCGAAAATCAACACCAAAATAAACTACTACTACGGGTATTAAATTTCTTAAAATTCAAAACAAGAAATATTTTGTGGGACGGAATGAGTTCCAAATTTTACTCCCATCCTGCTATATCTCTCAAAAAAGTTTACACTTTTTTTTAGAATGTCTAAAAATCAACTTTATTCTTCTCAATTTTCTCGTTTTAGAAGCAAATACAGAGTTTATGAATATCATTATTGATTCTCTATTACAAATAAAATTCAGCCTTACATTATCAATTTTGACTATTTTTTAAAACTTCATAGTTTTTGTGAATTTTTATTGAAGTATTTATTGAAATTTATTTTGTTATATATAGACAAGGTAATTAATTAATTAGGATAGTGGAGCATAAACAAAAAAAATATAATGGCTTTTGATTTTATTGTCGGCATTCCGACACCTAATATGAATGTTGTACATATTATTGTTTCTACGTACTACGGAGTACTAATTAATAAATAAGCCAGGGTGGAATGTGTTATCCTTTTTCATTATCAGTCCTTACTGTAATTATTCTATAATATTTCAAGCATCAATAAATCCTTTTGACTTGGGGTATACTCCCTCCGTCCCCAATTTGATTACAAATTGCGGGTTACGGAGTAAAATTTCCTACTTTTTGAAATCATTTTATTTACAAATTGGTATATCAATAAGTTATAAAAATTACATATTAAAAAACTACGTCAAAAGTTCTACAAAATAAGAAGTGACAAGAATATTTTATTTTATCAAATACTTGATGAAATCGCGTAAACAAACAAAAGTTATCGAGAGGAGAGAGAAAAAAAAATTGTAATCAAATTGGGGACGGAGGGAGTACTATATAGTCATCTCATTTCTGTCATAAAAATTGTTTTTGTTTTTTTCAGAATTTATTCCATTTGTCCTACAACTTAACCAACGTTTTCCTGGCCCTTACCCTTTTAATTCTTCCCATTAATTTTTCACTAATAAATATTCCCTCATGTCTTAAAAATCTTTCCTGATTAATTTTTTTATTAAACAGTGATACTCTTTGACCACAAATTAAACTTAACAATCTAAATAAATAAATAATATAAAAATTTGATATATCAAAACTATATCCTAAGATGAAACCATGTATATTGAATTTATATTATAATTAAAAATATTTTTCTCATAATTTGTGATTAAATAGGGTCAATGTTTGACAAAAAAATCAAAATATGAAAGCGTTTGAAGACCAGATGGAGTTTGAATTTCTTCTCATTTGCCTTAATTAATTTCTCTCTTTTCTATTTGTGACTCTCCTTGTTACTACTCTCCTTTGTTTTAAAATGACCTTCAGAGTTTGGTTTACGAGGTTTGACTGAAATTATTTTTAATTCAATTTATTTTATTATAGGCTTAAATTTTTAAAATAAAAATTACATATTTAAAAACTACATCAAAATTTCTACAAAAAAAGATGTGACATGACCATATTATTTTATCAAATAACTAACGAAAATGGTTAAAGAAAGTGATTAAAGTTTGATCATGTGAATAGTAGGGAAGATCATTTTAGGACAGAGAGAGTATAATGAAATAGACTCCTCGTCTCTTAATATTGTCAACTTTTAATTTTTTTGGTCAAAATTGATAAATTTTGACTTCAAATTAAATAAAAGTGATATTAGATATTGATACAAAAATAAATTTATTAGATTTACTATATAAAATAGTTTCAAAATATTATTTAACCTACTTAATATTCAATATATTTTTAATTTAATTATAGATCAAAGTTAAAAATCTAATTAAAATGTTAAAATTAGACAAACATTAATTTAGTGACAAAATGAATTAAGTGACCAAGGTGTTATAATATGGCAGGGCTTAATTACAAGCGAGAAAAGAGACAGGTTCAACATTCCGGTGTACGCGCCGAGCCTCCAAGATTTCAAGGAGGTGGTCGAAGCCGACGGCGCGTTCAAAATAAACCAGCTGCAGCTGTTTAGAGGCGGCAGCCCGCTGGTGGTGAGCAACCCTGACGACGCGGCAGAGGTGGGACGCGCCTTCGCGAACAGCTGCCGGAGCGTGAGCGGAGTGCTGGTGGACGCCCACATCGGCGAGAAGCTAGGGGAGGAGCTGTTTGTGCGGGTGGCGCGTCGAGCCACGAGCCACGCGAAGGAGATCTTGGAACTGCTCCAGTTCTTTCACGTAGTGGCTTCTCTTTCGCTTGCCGCCACGTGTACGTAGGAGGACGACGTACGAGAAAAGCGTATTTGTCGTTTATTTAGTCTGTATTCTTTCTTCTTTTTTTTTTTTGAAAAAAAAAACAGTAATTGTCTTTTTTTTTTTTTTAATGAAAACAGTTTGCCCAATGTACTTTAGTACGTAAAAGACTAAAGAGGTACTCCTTAGTCCTTGGTTGTTTTTTGGTGTCCTTGATTTCTGTTGATTCAGGCCGGCATCTTATGATCACTAGATCTTTATTGTCTCCAACAGGAAGTTGCAGTATGAATCATAACACAAAAATGTTAGAAATCCACCACACTTTTCCAATGGATAACAATCTCTCCACATTTTAAGCGTGTAAGAAACTAAAAATCTTGAGAAGACCAGGAAAATGAGAAAAGAAACACAAAAAATATATGATAGAAAAAAAATTATATTTCCATATTTCAGGATAGTGTACATAAAATTTCTCCCTCTATTTACGAGGCTAAATTCTAGACATTCATAAATAGATCTTTCCACACCCTATACCTTGATGTATTTTTCTGAGTAACTAAATATCAGTTACTTTCTACACCCACTCACACTTATCAAGACCCCTTAGATTTTCTCGGTGGTATTCTTGTGTAGAAACCCTCTTCTCTTTACTTTCTCTGCGGTGGTGTGTAAACCACACACACCACTACACTTCGGTAGAGCCCTTGTTATATAGCCAAATGGAATAGCCATACAAATAGAGAAAAGATCAACAAAGACATGCTACCTAGGTTACAAAGGAACACCAATCTATGCCAAAAGCAAGATCACCAAAATGGATTACATGTCCATTCACTACCTAATTTTCCATTTACTTTCTTTTTCTTTGTTCTTGTCTTCTTTTCCATTTATTTTTCTTCTTTTCTTTTCTTGATTATTTGATCAAATTTCCCAACAAACTCCACCTTGACTAAATAATCAAAGAATCTGTAGCCTCACCTCACTTATCTCACTTATCCTGTGAGATCACTGCTATATTGAAAGAAAAAAATCTACTTGGCTCCATCTCGTTTGCTCCTTGAGATCACCGCCACCTTAAAGAAGAAAAGAAAGTCCCCTGGCTCCACCGAGACCACCACCACCTTGAAGATTTTTTTTTTGCGAGTAGCTCCATCTTGCTTCAATACCGCAAGATCTCTGTCACTTGTTTTGTCTCCATTGCTCCACATTATCAAATACCACAATGTCCTTGCCACTTCCTGTTGCCGTTGTACCCGTAACTCAATCTCAACCAACCCCGTCAAGATCACCTCCACTACCTTAGCTCCCTAGAGTTTTAACCCTCCACATCGAGCTAAAAAAAATGACAACTCGCATTTTCTTTCACACTCCATCACCAACGAATATGAGACCACCCCTTTAGCAATTAGTTTATTTCGATCCACCCACCATGCACCGCCACAACAACACTAGCGGGACGCGCTGCCCGACCAACTTTCTCGCCGGAAAGGCTTTCGACACATGGCATAAATCGCAGATTTCCACTCTGCTAGACTACAAGTCTCCTCCGGTCCTATTCCCGTACCATACTTCACAAATTCAGCATGTCGTTCTGTACCCGATCCCCATGTCATCCACTTTGTTCCTGAAGTCCCATGGTCACCTACTTGCCCAAACCAGCTATAAGTTCGTGGGGGCAGCGAAAATCTCCAACAAAAAGATATGTAAACAGGTCAGACTGCTGGAAAGGATGCTCTAGCAGTGTTACAGAAACAGATGACATGCTGAGCATTATAACACCTTCTCCATCACATGCACACACGCAAAATATAAAGAAAAAACACTAAGCAAGACACCAGGATTGTTCACGCAGTTCGGAACAAATTCACCTACGTCTTCGGGGCCCACTTCCGTGTAACAACCCTTCACTAAATCATCACAAAGATTACACCAATCAATCACAAGAGAACATTCTAATGTATTGACTAGTCTACTTACGAATGATTTCTGACTTCAAACTCTGTTTGAGTCTTTCTCCACGGCTAGCGTTACACCTTCCTCAAGGCCTTCTTCAATGACGTGTTTGCAACCCTAGTTCCAGAATTAACATTCTCAAAGTCTGGACCATAGTATGAAGATGAATTGATCTCTTGGTCGGCCTACCGCTTCAGCAAACCTAACCTCTGTGCCTGTTGACAATATACTTCGTATTGCTCTGTATTTTCTTTAAAGATCTGATCTCTGCGACTTCAACAAATAGGACGACGATGTAGTTTTTAATTTTCTTGTGGCACTAAAGCTCTGATCCTATTTCCTATGCCGACAAAGATGCTACACTTTCATTATGAATAGTGCGCCTCTTTTTCTTTCTTGCTTAGCCTTGTAAAAACTACTCCGCCACACTTTTTTCTTTATGTATTTTCTCTTTGCGACTCTTCTTGTCTCGGCATGTGATCAGCTGCATTTTCTTTCTTTTTTTTTGTTCGGCACACCAATTCAATGTAAAGAGAGATGTAGAACATATATAGGGTAAGAGTAACCCTAATAGAGTTTAAATGGGAATCTTTCAACTATAGTTAGCTTCTTCTTCAAGAATAGTAAACCCAAGTAGAGTTAGGATTCTTTCTTCAAGGTCTCTTTCCTTTTTCTTCTTCTATGCACACTAGCACTTCAACTCTAAATAAAATAGCTACAAATAATTCTAAACAAATCTATTTGTTTGTCAAAAAAAATAATGCCAACACAATATAAAACTAACACCATACCGGCTAGTCCCTGGATTCTCAAAATCTCTCCTTTTTACCGCTTACAAATCCTTCCTCCCCAGCGCAACCAAGCTTCGATACCATCTGCTGGGATTTTAAGTGCGTAAGATACTAAAAATATTGAGAACACCAGAAAAATGAGAGAAAAATGAGAAAACAAACACAAGAAGGATATATGAGAGAAAAAAAATCATATTTCTACTATTTTATGACAATGTACAAAAACTCTCTCTGTTTACGAGGCTAAATTCTAGATACTCATAAACATATCTTTCCACACCCTATGCCCAGATCTATTTCACCGAGTAACTAAATACTAGTTACTCTCTACACTCACCCACACTCACCAAGACCCATTAGATTTTTCTGTTGATATTCTTGTGTAGAAACCCTCTTCTCTTCTCTTCTCTCTCTCTCTCTTCTCTCTCTCTCTCCGGTGTTGTGTAAACCCCACACACACACCACTACACTTCCGTAGAGCCCTTGTTATATAGCCAAATGGAATATAATGGAAAATGCTAGGGTGCCACCACATGTGTCGCACAGACAATTATCGTCTATGTTTGTCTGTGCGAAGCATGGGTGCACCCATGGTAGTACCCATGTGGTGGCACCCTGGTCCAACTGGAATAGCTATATAAACAAAGAAAAGGTCAACAAAGACCTGCTACCTAGGTTACGAAGGAGCACCAATCTCCGCCAAAAGTAAGATCACCAAAATGGATTACATGTCCATTCATTACCTAATTAAGTTTCCATTTACTTTCTTTTTCTTTTTTCTTGTCTTCTTTTCCATTTATTTTTCTTCCTTTCTTTTAATGATTATTTGATCAAATTTCCTAACACAATCACAGATGATTTATAGATAGATATATAGATAGTATTCATTTACGAACCGATATAATTAGACTGTGTATATACTGAATCACTTGCAATTGTCATAATAAGGAGCTGTGGTGGGTTTCATCCTTCATAAGAATAGATCACATCATAGATCACATCACATCTTACTTTTACTCATCACATCAGGAGCAAAATTGAAAGTCAACTATAATTTAACACTCCCTTATTTTTGCTCCAAGTCAAAATAGGAAGCCTTTTTGCAAACGGAGGGAGTATATATTTGTATATAAGTGTTGGAGATAGTAAAAATGGGAAAAAGTCTTACTAAGTCCCTTATTATAATTTTTCAAAAGTATTTTTTTATGTGCTTAAATTATTTTAAGTGCTTATCAGGTCCCAATACTTTCAAACTATTACACAGATAGTTCCTACGGTGACTTTCCGGCCAAAACTCTTGTATACCGTCCATTTTTCTTTGAATTTTTTTATTTTAATTCTTTTTTGCCCTGCACTTATTAGATTCCTATATTTTTCAAAAAAGCTTCCTCGATCCCTATACATCTTGAGTCAAACTATGTATATTTTAAAATTTTCAAAAAGCGGAGAAGGCATAAAATATCGTTTTTTAAAAATACTATTCATGCACTAGTCAAAAAGTATAGAGATCTAGGAAACACTTTTAAAAAAATATAGGGATCTATTAATAAGTGAAGGGCAAAAAGGGAATAAAGAAATTTAAAGCAAAATGGATGGTATGTCCGATCGAGTTTTTTTGTTGGAAATGTCACTGAAGGGGTTACTTGTCACTTGAAATTTTATTATTTTTAATATTAAGTATTATATTTAATACACCCAAAAACTTTTATTTTAGATTTATTTGTTTTATGAAAAAAAATCTATTGGATAATTCGTTAAAGATGTAGAAGAGAAATTTGTTGAAAATACCAATAATTGGGAAAAATATACAATAACATTTGTATAATCCATGCTAATTTTGTTAAAAATATAGATGTTGTGGTAATTGTGCTAGAAATGGTGCTAACATAATCTTTAATTTTACGAAGTATTTAATCGATCATAGACAAACTATAATATTATTTTTCAATATTTTTGACCTATCTGACCTGAATCGATCGGATCTAGATGGATTGGATCTAATGTGATCTATTTTATTAAGAATAAGAAATAAATCCCTTAAATTTACGTTTTACTAAAACATTTGTTTCAGCATAATGGTATAGAATTCTCAAAGTGTTAAAAAAATTCTTATCATATATTGTGCCAAAAGAATATTTTCAATGAGAATTACGGAGTAACACTTTATGGGTCCAACGGCGCTGCATATATGACCGTGATTCTCTCATATGAGAGGTCAAAAGTTCATTCCCAGTGAGAATAATAACTTTACATTCTTAATGGGTTGAGAATGTATGAACAGATTTTTTTAAGATATTATCTTATCTAATTAATATACCATGTAATATTTTTAATTATAGATCAAAGATTGATACCGATTAACTAAAAAATTAAAACTGAATAAATACTAAAGCAGTATTAACTAAATTTTTGACCCGCCGAGGCAAGAGCGGGTTCGAAAATATTACCGATGGCAGGCTAGTTAATCAAGAAGTCTTTGACGGATAGATCCACCACCATCCCATGCCAAAACTCCAATACAAGATTCTAATTGACACATTCCATTCATCAAATTTTACATTAAATCTATTTTAATTTTTTTTTTTGGTATACTTAACCTATGTTCGAATTACTAGGGTTCAAGTACTAGTACCCAGAATCTAATTACCCGACTTCAATAAAAATCATTAGGTACATTGTTAAGGTACTGTATTCCAGAAATGTTTTAGTTCCGTTTTGAATTTATGTATATGCAAGTATCATACGTGCACTCTCAAAATGACAACCGAAGATATAATTGATATGAACATTCAAATGGATATGAATCCACAGTTAAAGCAAATGTTTTATCAAATCAGGAAATCTCAAAGCCACCCACCATGCCATGATAGCTCAAACTCCTTTCTTCATGGGCTTCAACCATCAATCAGTTCTCAGCGGAGGGATTTGTCAAAAGCTCAAGTGATTTTTTCAGGTAATCCACGGCAACCGAAACATCATCAAATGCTAAAGCTCCCACGGCAAACCTCGCAGCCTTGTGAGCCTCTGATATTTTATCAGGGGGAGGCTGGTAATTGCTGTCGTACTGGTAAGTCTTGGTCAAACCGGGCGGTGAGGATTCTGAAGTGGGCCCACTTGTGTTGCTTGGGTTGTAATGAGACGTTGATGGGTGGGTCGCTACATTAGAAGATTGGAACAACACAGAATGGGAAGAAGAAGCATCAGTGGTGCCTTGGTAGTAAGAAGGATAATGAGAAGGGGTGGAAGGAAGGCTGGTCTCGGCAAAACTAGGATAAGATTGGAAATTCGGATATGAGTAGGGCGAGGAAATGTCTTGTGAAGGATGGTGATAGTGTTGCTGTGGCAAAGTTGTCTCTTGCATGTAGGGTTGATGATTGTAGGGCTGGGCCTGGGGATGAGGATAACTAGGGCTGGCTGCATTGTGATTTGGAGGAGGTTGTTGGAAATGATGAGCTTGATAATCGACTTCAGATTCGTTACTTGGTGGAGGAGGAGGAGGAGGTTGAAGGGAAGAATTATGAGAGCGATGATCATCTTCAGAAACGTGATTTGGAGGAAGCTGTTGGAAACTACGAGAAGGATAATCCTCAGTTGAATAAGAACGAGAAAATGAGGGAGAGTGTGAATTACCATAGGCTTGGTGTGGGGATGAGTTGGGTTCTGGCGAGGGTTTCATAGAGGAATCACTACGCCTAAACTCAGGAAGATCCTGCAAAATATCATAAAGTTAATTATATCGCAGATCATGCCGAGGAGCACAACGGGAAGTAGGCATTAATCATACGTACATATTCATTGGTGGTGGGAGTAGTTGACATGTCAGGTGAATCTTTCTCGCCACCGGGAGGTCCTGGAACAGGCTTCCTTCCTTCTTTCAGAGCTTTTCTTATGTCTGCAGCCTTCCATGCTGCATACTTCTGTTTCTGTTCAAGCTGGAGACAAGATATGAATGACATAAGGACGGAATACTAAGGTGTTGGAAGGACCCAAAAGATGAAATAACTTGGAGCTCCTTTTTGTATCGTTGCTACTGTCTTATTTGAGTAAACGAAATTTAGTTCAATAACAGAATACAGTATTAATTTAGGATGTTTTCCAGGACCAATTTGTGGCTGATAACAGGGCCAAAACCCAAAAAGAGCATTAACTTACATCAGGTTGAATTTCACCAAATTGATTAAGAATCTCAAAGAATATGCTTGCAGCATAAAAAGTCTTTGCTGTATTCCTGTAAATCCCATAAAAAGATGCAAAACAAATAAAGATTAGGCATCCATGAGATCAGAGGCAAATTTTTTGTAACAGGTTGCATCTCCCGTAGAAAAATATACTCCCACCATCCCAGGATAAGGGTCCACATTTGACCCCACGCACTTATAAAGAAATGTGAAATTGTATGGTTGAGATTTATACACAGGAGTTGAGATTTATGAAGAGGAGTTGAGAAATAAATCAACCCTGCAATTTTTTCCTTAAAAGGAAAGTGGAAGCCAAATATAGGAAAGATAAAAAAGAAAATATGGAACTTTTTCCAAGACAGAATGTATTAGAAAATATACTCGATCAAGGAATGATGAACAGACATTTTAATGGGTATTCGTCAATCTGCATAATCTTATTTAGAACCGATCAATCACTTATCAGGAATATTATTATCAAACAATAACAAACCAAGGTATATCCCAACTATGTTGGGGTGTGGGGGAGGGGGGCAAGATGCACACAACTTACCTCTGTAAAAACACGGAGTAGTTGTTTCCTCTAGACCCTTAATGCATTGCTGCATTTAATTCCCAAAACTTCATAAAAAAGTATGAAGCAAGGGATGTTTAATGTATTTTTATAGATTACTTACCCAAAGTCAATGAAAATCACAAAAATGAAAGTCATATCTTACAAGTCATATTTATAATTTAAAAAACAAAATGTAAATCACAAGAGAGGAAGTCATATCTTACAAGTCAGCTCGTCCGGCGCGATCTTGTTTGTCTGCCTTTGAAAAAACATTCAAAGCAAACCCCTCAACATGTAAATGGTCATCTGGTCCTAACTGCAGTGACTTCTTATCCTATACAAAGAAAAGGAAACAAGGATCATAGGCATGCACAAAAATAACAGCGGATGAATTTACGCAACAATATATACTTTGACTCGCTTCCCAATATGCACATTTTTTAAAAAAGAAATGTTGGCGCAAGCCTCGATTTGAAGCACTGGGGAAGCCCCAATGCTTGCACACTGATGCAGAACAGAGAGGGTTACACCTCTGATGATTGAGAGTTTGAAGAAAAGTACTAAGTACACCTTAGGGATTTTGAGATAAAAGCCTCATAAGAAACAGAGCATGCTGGGTTTTGAGGCATAGATTTGGACTTATTCTAACATCTAAAGCCTATCACTAGCCCATAATAGGCTTGATATTTAACCCTATAGAACCCTTAAGAGGTTACATCCCCATAAAGTTGGATGTGATTCAATTATCTTCTCCTTGCACCAGAGAGCACCTCTACACACATCAAAACAGCCAGCGCCTCCATGGTACCAACAGCTCCCCCATCAAGTACCTATTCAACTCATTCACAAGCAATGCCACATGCCGCCTCTCTCTTAAATTGCTTTATCTAGGGCCACTAAGCTTTGCTAAACTTAGACATTTCCAGAATGGGGTGTTTTATACTTGCTTCAATCTTCATTTCAAAGATTATTTAGCAACAACATGTAAGGGAACATGGTAACATCCTCAGAACCTGACTTTCCCAAAGTCTTATGTGATTATTAAGCCATAAGATACTACTCCCTTACCACCCACCCACGCTCAGTTATATCATTAGTATTCTCTATGAAGGAGAGCTTGAGCACAGGAACCACTTTCCCATCAAACGTAGTCTGTACTTGTCACCTTGAGCATGTTATAGACAAATAACATATTCACGTGATGGGAATAATTCTTGCAACCTTCTGACACAACATCCACAACCTCAGCACCATCGACTTTAATTCTTTAAAAAGCTGCAATAGTGATATTACTGATATTCATTTCTAAAAACGTATCACATCAATTTTAACAACCTGGGATGCCTTGTAATGGTTAAGAATCCACATTGTTAGAGTCTATCCCACATCGGAAGTTGAATAAAAAAAGTAATTGGTATATAAGCTCTTGAGTTAAACTAAGTAATCAATTGGATTTAATCTTTTAATGTGGTTCGGCCCAAGTGTCGTATTGCCTAATCCGGTAACCCTTTCCACATCGTAAATTCTATCATGGTATCAGAGCAGGTTTTTGCCCAGCTTGTTTGTCAAGGTGTCCGTCTAGACATTCATTCCTAGCAGCCGTTTGTCTTTAGCCCAGTTGTCCGTATGGAATATGAATCCAACGGCCTGTGGCCTGCTTAACCCGATTGTTCGTCCAGAAGTCCATGCCTAGCAGCTCGTGATCCTTTAGGTGTTGGCGCTAAAAAAAATCAAGAAGATGAGAATTCATTTGCAAGTGGTCAATCGGTTAGATTCAAAATGGACCGGTTGTCCACTTGAGGAGGAGTATTAGAGTCTATCCCACATCGGAAGTTGAATAGGAAAAGTAATCGGTATATAAGCTTTTGAGTTGAACTAAGTAATTAATTGGATTAAACCTTTTAATGTGGTTCAGCCCAAGTGTCTTATTGCCCAATCTAGTAACCCTTTCCCCATCTAAATTCTATCACCCATATTGATCCCTTGATCTAAGACTTATATCTATGTATTGCAACATAATGAGATTTAGTTCCAAGAACCAATCGCTTTGCATGTGTACCGTTGTGGATGTTCATATCTAGAAGTCCAGATTTAAAAATTCTTGATGTTGAACGTGATCATTGTGTTGCAAATTGCAATGTGTTGAAAAATCACTGCTACGTGTCAATGATAAATTTGGCATCTAAGACCTTCATTCTTATCAGTCTAGCCATGGCTTTCGCATTTCGTAAGTTCAAGAGATCATTTAGCCCTCAATCTTTCTTGTCTAGTCTTGATCTAGATGGTCAAGACAACAATAAGGGATTGACCCATTCAAGTCACAATATCTCTAAAATGAAGTTTGGTCCAATATTGAAGTCTTGTGGTAAACATTGAAAACAAGACTCATAAAATGAAAAACTATTGACACTTGGTAACCATTAATCATGTTTGTGTCATTAGTGGCATATTGTTAGCATATATTCTATAATATTTGGGAATATCACACACATTCATTGGATGTTAATCAATGTCCATGTAGCCTTGTGCACATGGAACAATCTGGCAATCTGCGAGCCCAGTAATCTATAATCATCAAAACATATGACCTAGAAATAAGGCAGTCAACGGAATTAAAATTGTTAAGACAATGATAATTTTGTTGGCTTGTAGATTGTTACATGTGTGCAAAGCTACAAGGACATTGATCAACATCGAGTACTTATACGTGTTATACTGTTATTTTCCAAACATTATGGAGTAGATACTAAAGATTAAAATCATGATGCTAAAATTTTTTTTCATTTCAAAAGGTCAAAGTAAATGACATGCTACCAAATAATGTTTAGATATGCAGCATTAGCCATTAGGTCTATGAGACTTAGGAGTACATAAAATTTAAGTGCTAGCTAAACATGTGCTTTACACTCATATTTGGGTGACTGAAAATGAAGCAAACCATATTGTTTGATGCATGCACGCGGTTAGAACTTTATTTATGATATTGGTCTTAAAGGTTTACTTCAGGACCCAAGATTGAGCTGATATATCATTTAAGACATGATATTGTGACTCCCAAGAATCAATCTCTTAGTTACTAGTTTTCTATTAAGATTATCACTAAAGGAAGGTTTTAGGGCTAAAGGATGTCTTGAACTAACAAAATGGGAGGCCATGCCTAAAATGATAAACACCCTGGCTTACAGGCTACAGCTAGGGAAAAAACGTTCCCTGTGGGGTGGAAGGGGGGGGGGGGGGAANTCAAAAGGCACAGCCTACATGAGAGTGCAAAAACAATTTTATTGAATTAACCAAATACGCTTGGAAGTGAAAACACAAGGTGCATATGTGGTTAAGCTTTCTGCATTAGATATTTAGCATTACATATTCAATGATCCAGTATGTACATATTTGTCAATGATTATAAATTGGTCAATAGTTCTTCGCTTGTTATTAAGAAAAAGATACAAGTAACATGGAGTTGATGATTAATTGTTAAATATGATGAGATTATGAGAAGTACTTAATCAGTAAGTCAGTTTCATGATAATATTAAGTATCACTATTAAGTTGCTATCATGTTCTCATTATAATCCATAAAGGTTTAATTTACCCAATCCTCACAATTTAAGCTAGCCTAAAGTCAGAGATACTATATGTGAAAAACAAACATCCATATACACAGATAGATGGGAAAAGATCAAAAAACTAAACTCCATCCATATCATAGAGAAGACAGACACACAGAAAAAATACATAAATAAGGAAAGACCTTTTCGAGCTGATTTATCAGAGAAACAAGCAGGGAATTGGTGGTCTTTGTACGGTCGCTTTGAGGAATTCTCAATCCCCGCTCCATTGCATACAGCCGACCTGGAAAGAATGAATCATTCAAACCATATAACTACAAAATCAATCAAATTCAGACACACGATGCACCTCGTGGAGGTCCCAAAAAAGTTTAGGAAAAGAACGTACAGTAGTAGGCGACGAGCGGTTCGTGTTTCTGCAATTCATCCGCTCTTTGAAGGTAAGGTAGTAGCAGCTTTGCAGGCTCGTTCTCCTTCGCCATCGCTACAGTTCAAATGTGATGTTCTGTCTTTCCTTCTCTCTAGCAGAAAGACTGATAGAGTATCACTTTAGAACCGTGTAGGTAACCAAGACCCATGTTTAGCACAAATTTTTATGGTGTAGTCCTTCATTCATACTTCTTCTGTCTCACAAAATCATTTTTCTTTCTTTTTTCATTTGTCTTAATTTCTCATTTCTATTAAAAAATTATTTTTATTCCAACTAATTATTAACACACTTATCACATCACATTTTTTCCGCAAATTATATTATACATCCGGCTGTACCTAGAGATAGGTACAGCCGGCGTTTAATAGGGCGAAAGGAAGCGCAAGAAACAGGCGATGAAGGAGGCTGGTCGATCGGAAGTCGGATCTGGGATTATGTGCGGATCTATGATGATGATCGATGATGATGATTGGTGATGAAGAACGAAGGCCGATGATGATGATGGGGTTTTGCTGATGATTTTGCAACAGAGATGATGCGGTGATGAAGAAGAAGGAAGACTGGTGATTATGATGGAGTCTCTACTGCAGTGATGAAGAAGAAGAAGAAGGAAGACTGGTGATGATGATGGAGTTTTGCAGGGGATGATGATTGAAATCCTCGGTTAGGGCAAGAATGAATACTGGTTTAAGTGGGAATGAGTACAAGTAGTTTTTAGAATGTGTATTCAGTTATTTGTAAATTAATATTGCACAAATAAGTAAAAATGAGTACTTCTTTATTTTAAAATGAGTATTACCTTTGCCAGAATGAGTACTACGTATTTCGAAATAAATGTTTATATTTGTACGAGAATGAGTATTACTTTATTTTAAAATGAGTACTACCGGGATGTACCTATTTCTAGGTACATCCGGATGTACCATATACCAACTCCATTTTTTCATTATAAATCTACCCATCATATCCTATTTTTACCCATCACATCCAAATGCATTTTTAAAAAATCAACGCCAAAGTACACTCTTCTTAAATACTTTAAGTTTGAAAAACGAACCAGACACTTAAATAAGAATGGAGGGAGTAGAATGTTGATTTCAATCGTAGTTGTGGAACAAGAGCTCAGTCTTAGTGGTAACATTTTAACTAACTTCCGTAGTTCCTTTAGTGCTGAATCGCTTGAGACACGTGTTTCCAACTGAGATTGACTCTTGGCAAGGCGTTGAGAATAAGAGGTAGGCTACGACATGGATGCGCTTGAGAGACTTGTTTGCAACCAGGCTTTTCAAGGTAATTTACCGTGTAATATACCGAGTGTTGGATCCCATCTCAGACGAGGACCGATCTCAGAAGATATGCCCAAGTATCAACTGGCCTTCTTTACTGCCTAAAAGAAAGGGCGACTCAGTCGGCTACCTAGGAAAGGAAGCGGCTGAGCGCATCCAACTTACTGGTCAGACACATATTTCATGGAGCCTCTATGCCACAGGAACTTACCCCCTTGGACTCCAAAGGTGCACTTCTTCGGGCTGAGCTGCAAGTTGTACTTCTTCATTATCTTAAAGACCTTTTCCAAGTCTTCCCCATGGGAGGCCGCCTTATTGCTCTTCACAATTATGTCATCAATGTAAGCCTCCATGCTTTTTCCGAGGACAGGTGTGAAGAGCTTGCTCACCGTCCACCCATACGTGGCCCCTGCGTTCTTGAGATCGAAGGGCATCATTTTGTAGCAATACACTCCTCCGTGGGTAGTGAATGATGTCTTATTCTCGTCATCTGGGTGCATCCGGATCTAATGATACCTGCTGAAGGAGTCCATGAAACTAATGAGCTCGCACCTGGCTCGTCATCCGGGTGCATCCTATTCACAACATTTTGCTCCCCAGCCATGGCGTAGGTCTCTATATGGGGGAACGAGGAAAGACCATGCTCACGATATCTATTTTTCAAAACGTAAGAAAAAAAGCATGATATAAAAAAACCCTAACTCAAAGAAAACTATTTCAATATACTACTCCCTCCGTCCCAGAGTATTTGTTCACTTTCATTTTTACACATCATCCAATACACTTCTTTAATCCATTTTATCTTGCAATTTGTATATTAAAAAATTATAGAAATTATATATTAATAATCTATATGTTAAGACAAATCAAACAAGATCACACATGACTATATTTAGGCTTACACATTGAGAGAATTTGATGAGTCAAAGTGCTTAGATAAACAGTTCCAAAAGTCAAAAGTGGACGAATATAGCGAGACGGAGGTAGTATATAATTGACATTCGTTTGTCGTTTAGTCCTTGTCAAGACCCTTACTATTTCAATATACTATTTATAGCCCCTTACTATTACAACGATAATAACCGTGATTGACATTCGTTTGTCGTTTAGTCCTTGTCATTGCTATTCATGTTACTTGGCTCTCCGTGAAGCTCCCTTGTCGTCTAACTTTTGTCCCTAGCGATGGGAGGTATGCAAGACCTCGAATCACCTTCTGGCGCGCTACTCACTTGGTTGGGGTGGACTTCAGCGTAGATTTTGTCAGACCGAGCCAAACTGCTGGGCTCAGTGTGACCGAGCCAAGCTCGAACCGAGTCCATAAGGTCGAGTCGGATCACTGAGACTCGTCCCAGCTTACGTGGGCATTGGGCTCCGACCCAAAGGCCCAAGATCAGCATGACATTACCCTCTGTCAATTAAAATTAGAATTAGAGGATTAGGATTATAAATTAGATTAGGGGATTACGATTTTGATTACAGGATTAGAATTAGAATTAAGATTAGTATTAGGCACATTAGCTTGGATGAGATGGTCCTTTTTCTACATTCACTTCTAAGTCCAACAACTTTTATGAAAGGTTCCGGAATTAGGCATTGACATTGGATGCACGGAATCACCACTCATTGCATTCTGATTGAGTACTCACCTTAAACACTTCCCAACGACCCTTATGGAGAATGCACCTCTTCAATGATAGGCCTTCGAGGTGGGCAAGGGAGGGAGGCCTAAGTTCATTGGCCTAGGATTTATATTTCATAAAATTTGTGTTTTCATTGAGACGGTTAAGAACAAGCTTAATATAAATATTATTCCATCCATCCCAATTTAAATTGCATGTTTCGATTTACGATATTTGAATGAAATTATTTTCAAATTACTTCATGCGAAAAATGGCATAGAATTAAAAAATAAAAAGCCTAACAAAAACAGCAAAAGAAAATGAATGAAGTTTGATCTTATAAATAGTAAACATACAATTTAATTTGAGACAAAGAGATTACATTTGAGAAAGATGGTGGCTACCAAGAGTTAAAAGAATTTAATTTAACTAAAATAAAAAGGTTACATTTTGATAAAACAAACTCTTTCATGGAAGAGAGGGTGTACAAAACCCCTCCCACAAAACTACATTGGCAAGCACTAAGCGAAATTATTACCCACTTAATCAGACTCCACATCAATTGTCAATTATCATTACAACACAAACGGCTACACGCTTCGGATTAATATAAAGTCAGTAGTGTCTATATATCTCTACAACAGTAACTAACACACTGATGATACCACACCGGTATGAACAGATGATGATACAGACCTGATTGGGATTGTTAGATGATGATAACTAAGGAGTTGATGGGATGGTAGGATCCGAACCCGATATGTGGGAGCACGCGTCGTCTTTTGAAATGGCAACAAAGTTCAGAGGAACAGCAGCTGGTCTGGCACTCTCTCTCCTCACCTCTTTGGCTGTTGGCCTGGAGCCGTTTTGAAGAGAAGAATTGAGAGACAGCCTTCTGTTTGCAGACCCATTGCCATTTGCTGCCCGGGGATGGGGACCCCCCACTGCCTTCTTTGTACTGTTTAGTGGCCGAGCTGGGCTTGGAGTGGAGCCAAACATTCCTTCTTGTTCTTTGTTCATCTGTTCATGGAACCTCTTCTGGTCCTATAGTAGAGATCATGTAGAAAGAGAGATGCAAATATTAAGCACAGACTTAGAGAAATTGTGTTTGGTTGGAAATGCTTTGGCGTGTTGGTGTCTATATCTTGATGTTTTTTTGAGAGCTTTATAGAAATTGAAAAGTTGATGGGATGGAATAAATATAGTTCGGATGGAATAAATATAGTTCAGATGGAATCAAGATGAAAAAGATGATGCCCAAATTACATCGTTCCACAACACAAGGTTAGACGTACCCTCAATCTTTTTTTCTCTTCTTCTCTGTCCTGCCTGAGCATCATGTACTCATCTAGCATGGCAAGCAGGGGAACACCATCATAAGTGAATGTTGTGCCACGTTCTTCTTCCCATGCCCGAGTTTTATTAATCAGGACTTCAACAAGAGCTACATAGAAAAAACAACGAATTAGACACTAAATGATGGGCATAAACATTTTTTTAGAGACCAGTCACGGATGGGTGACAATGCAAAATGGTACAATCCAGGCTTTTCACAATGTTAGCAAGAAACTATCACTAACAGCTAGAAATATCGTCAAAAATGTACCTGGAATTTTGTTGACCAAAATCCGGGCTTTTTCAGCACGCTTTAAGTTCAAATGTGCGCCCCTGCTTGCGTTGTACCTATTATCATCCTGTTCCACAATCCACCAACAGTAACTCTTAAACCGTGTAATCTCTAAAGAAAAGCCTCCTCTGCTAGCTACCCATGCAACAGAAGGGGCATTCTCCCTCCATCTTCAAATGAACTTTATGGTTCTTTTTCACAAATCAATTTATATCTTCTTTCCTTGCATATTTTTATTGGTCATTTGTAAAAATAAAATACTCAAGTCATCTTTTGTTTTGTAGATTTTTAGATGCATCGTCTTTAATATATAATTTTTTAAAGATTTGTAGTATTATTTAAATAAAACAAATTGAAAATAACTTTAGTCAAACATTGTCATCCCTGCGTCAAGTTCAGTTGGAGATGAAGGGAGTTTATTATCTTTTCTTTGTAGGCAAAAGCACATACTCCCGGACGACCCACCCCAAAAGGCACTCATGGAGTCTTGCCATTTTGGTTGTCCCACCCAAAAGGCACTCCTACCATGTTTGACACAACTAATTTATCTTTTCAATTACTTTTTCTATGTTTCAAATTACTTTTACTCTCTCTTTCTTACTTTTTCAATCACTCTTACACTCTTACTTTGTCAATCACTTTTACACTCTCTTTCTTATTTCAACCTATCCGCCCCTGCCTTTTGAATCGCTTCTAAATTGCAGACTGTCATTGTGATAATTGCTATGCAGTATGAGCTAGCATAGAAAATTATGGGTCCTGGGTGAAAGATGTGTATAGTTTGTAAGAACAAAAAACCAGCAATACAAAAAGTTAACTTTGGCACGAAGCATGTGATAGGAAAAGGATAAACTGGATAATTAAACATTTGGAGGGAAGAGTATAACGCACCCGATTATAGTCTTCAAGCCAGCTTTCCTCTTCACAAGCAGACATCCATTTCTCTACTTTATCCAATATTTCTTTTCTACTTAGGGCCTCTTCTTTCGCTTTGAGTATCTGATGGTCCATATCAGCCAGTAACTCTGTGGGCTCAATATTGCCAGAGTCAATTAGTGACAATATTTTTTCTCTAGCAGCTTCAGTATCAATCTCAATGTGAGCAAGGGCAAAGATTTCTTCGAGCTCAGCCTGCCTTTTAAAAGCTATCTCCTTCATCTTGCTAAACTTCAGTCGGTCAAGTCTTTCAACTTCAACTTCAACCTTAAGTAGAAAGAGATTAGTTATGATCACCTTTTACGGAGCAGTTGGTGGTCTTTAAAGAAATGCATATTTATGTATATTATCGTACTTGTTCGATCACATCCAAAGTAAGAGCACCGGGAATTGTCACTTCATCCACTGAAGCTGATATGTTGCAAGTAACATGGTCAAACAAACTCCTTTCATCGTCAGGGGTATCCATCAAATTCCAAAGGTCAGTTAGTTGAGTGGCTAGTTCTTGGAGCTGCACGAGATAGCACCCACAATTTTAGGATGCACTTCTTTGGAAAATAAAGCACACAGAAACAAATTTAAAAAAATGACTGACTAAACTGCCACATTACATTCTATAAACATCATCGGATTATTAATTCAATACACATCAATCTTATAGCACACTGGGCCCAAAAAAAACCATTTGACCCTGCATGTTACCCAAACAATATAAAGCTATTTGTACACGTGTATGAGTAGTCACCTTTTGCAACCTCTGTTTTTTATCTTCTTTTAGAGCTAAGACAGTCTTTGCCAACCGTAACAATGTGCCATTGCTAATGCTTTTTGATTGTACACCAGTTGTATCGTCCAAGCTTGGGTGAACTTCAGTGACGGTGGAAAAGAAATCCATCCCAAGGACAGCACAAAGATCATGCACTGTGCTCACAAATTCAAGGACCTTGTGCAATCTCTCACTCTGAACAACATAGTGAAAATGGTTGTTAAAATTGAGATGTGTCAAGAATCAGAGAAGCAAGCACATTCTCTAACTTTTTCATATACTGTCTTCACCTTTTCTTTTTGAAGTTCTTGCAACTGAGCATGAAACTCCTCTAACTTTTTGAGTGACAAATCAGTTTCATCCACTATCGGATGCTCCAGCTGGTCAGTATTCCCTGAAATTTCACTGCTTATCTTTTGTATTTGTGATTGAACATCAAGGAATTCCTTTGTTTTTTCCTCCTTCTGGGCCCACAGATTTTCTAGGACAGGTGCTATAGCTGCAAGTTGTTCCTTGATTGTTCCTGATGTCTTATCAGGCTGCAAATAGTAAAGACACAATAAAAAAGTAAAAGGGTGCTTTAAAGTTGAGTATGAACTGTTTAAGTCAAAATGTCAAATCATAAACATAGCCACACACAATTCCAGCATATGTCTTCTCCCCGAGTGCTGATTGAAGCCTAGCAAGTTCAACTTTGCAATCTGCAAGTGTCTGAAGAAGATGAGTCCTGGACTCCATAGCCTGATCAACCTTTCTCTTATACACATCCAAGCAATCTTGTTCTAACTGAAGAAGCATCTTGTCCCGCTCTTCGTCGCTTGTGCCCACCTCATCCCAGATTTGCTTTAAAAATAAAACATGTTTTTTTAACAATCATATTATGAAACACAGTGAAGAAATTTTTACTGATCTTATCTCAGCACCCAAATAACATACACATTGGAACTTTATTACATACTCCCGCTGCCTGAATTTAGTTGTCCACTTTCTAAAATATCTAATTTTTAAAAAACGATTTTAAAAGTTCAAACAGGTCTTTTAAATGAGTTTGTCACTCATTAATGATTACAATACTCATTCAATATCTCTATGTTATTTTATAGACAATTCATCATAGTTTCTCTATTGAATATGGAAAAAGGACAAGAAATTGCAAACAAAAGGAAACAAGAAAATGGATAACTAAATTGGACGGAGGAAGTATTACAATACAAGAACTTGTACCTGCAGCTGCTCAAGTAAAGAACCACATGACGTGTCTCCAAGAAGAAGACTTTGAGCAGCCACTGCTGTCATTATCTGTTACACAATGCAGAGGATCCAAAGTTCCAATTACAATAAGATACAGAGATAGAAAATAGAACGGCATAGTTTTTCAGTGCATAGAATAACTTTGTTTTCACAGAATACTCCCTAAAAGACAAGAAATTAATTTGGATACTAGAAACAAGAAGCAATCAGAGACACAATTGGCAAGATAATAAAGCAGAACAAAGAAAGTGTTTGCAGAAGTTGAGGCCTGGAACCTCAAAGGGGTTTGTAGTATGAATAATACTCCGTATATCCATAGCAATCTTTTGTAGATAGTGCCATAAAAAAATCATATAACATACAAAACCAAAATGCAGAGCCCAAACACCTAGACTAAAGATTTATTTGGTAGCACCAATCGAATCAATCCGCTTGTTAATAAAATGATGAATCAAATTAAGTAAGGAGTAGCCGTTCACGTAGTTGTCATAAATTGATTTTGCCAAACATTTTAGCTTTTGAAAAGTTTAGCCGAGTAATAATCAGTCGTTTTCTCCTAACAACCTTACCAAAACGTGCTCTAAATAAATGAAGCAATAAAACAGTTGTATCCAAACTGAGAAACTAACATAAAGAGAGAGCGAACCGAACATATCATACAGTTTCAACACAAGCACACAAAAGCAAACGAACATAGAGCAAAGTTCTAAACCCTCATTTTCAAAAGAAATGGTTTGAAAATGGATCCACTGTCTAAATGCATGCTCTAACAACTAGTGAATAACTTCAGTTCCAGTTCAGCCAAAAAAAGAGTATGAAGAGAAAATAAAAACTGTGTGGTGACAACAATGGCCGCAATCAAGTCTCATAAGCAAGTAAGCAACGATTGGAATTGAACCATATATGCCTGAACACAAATGCTAGCCAAATCATGACATCAAACACTAGAATTACTTGAAACGGAGCTGAGAAAAATAAACAGAGAGCTCAGATCTCAGCTCGCGCTCAGCTCAATCAACTTGAAAACCGAATAAATGCGAAACCAAGGGCATTAACTGAGAAGGCGAAACGCAGAGAATGCTCACCGTCACCGAGATAGTTAACGGAGGAGCTGGATATGGAGTCTCCGATCTACGGATTCAGTCGGAGACAGGGTTTCAGCGGCTGTCTGTGAGAGAGAGAGAGAGTGTGTGTGGGGGTGAAGTGTGAAGGGGGAGTAGAGTGTAGGAGGAGAGAAGCAGAGAACATTGAAAATGATGGCAGATTAAAACAAAAAAGAAATGGGGTGGGATGGGTCAGTGGGACCCTCGAACATTGACTAGCTGGAACGCTAGATGTGGACCGCCTCTTCCCGGTCTTGTTTCCATGCCGGTCGCCCTAGCTTCACTCAATCAAAAGTTTGTGTTAGAGCATTTACAAATCCTATATCCTATATTATATATATATATATATATATATATATATATATACGGCCCGGTTCCAGTGGCACTGGAACCCCACCCATATACGTAAAGTTGAATTTATTATTTGTGGTGTTGACATGTGACATGCCCCATGTGCACTAATGTATGAGGTGGAAGTATCTTATTGGTCCATTAAACTTATTTTTAAGAGAATCTTTTAATATATTTTATTGTATTATATTAAATGAATATTATTTTTAACCTTAAAAAACATTACTCTCATTATATTTTGTATAAATTTAACATTTTCTAACAATTCTATAAACATTTATTTGACCATTGTAAAATTTACTCCGTATTTTAAATATGCATATTGATTGTAAAAGTTTAAAGAAGAGTATGTATAAAACTCTTTATTATTAATTTAAAAAATATTTGACTTCCAGAAAAATGAAAAAATATTTCACCATCAAAGATATTAAATTGTTTTTGGCATTTTTATGGTTAATTAATTTAATATTTTTTAAATTTAATAGTTATAGAATTTTTAGTGCATGTACATCAATATTTAAAGTATACTTTTTATTTAAAAAATATACTCCGTATATCTTATAGTGAAAAAATATTCATTTAAAATAAATAAAAATATATTAATAGAATGTCAAAAATTTAAAATGTATATGAGTCCGTGCGAAGCACGGGGTTGACACTAGTTACCCGTACAATGGAGAGTAAATATCTCCTCCTCCAACAGCTCTCATTACCTTTTCGTCCTACTCCAAATCCTGTAATGTCATTCCCTTGAAAATTTGTCTCCCCATTTCTTTTACATTACTCATCATTTTTAACTCAAAATTTGATTTTTTCTGCCCCTAAAACATTGTCACATTTTGACTTTTTTGATCAAACTATGACACTCTTTGACCATAAATTATAGAGAAAGTACATCTAGTTATAATGTAAATTTAACAAAATTGAGTTTATTTTAAAATATAGTTTTAAAATATCAAATTTCTATAATATTTAATCATTTAAAACTACATTTAGTTCAGAGTCAAATGGTGTCACAGTTTGACTAAAAAAGTCAAACTGTGGCAACCTTTTAAGGACAGAAAGAGTATAAATTTAATACAAATATTTATTTATTAATAAAAATAGAAGTAAATTTATAAAAATTAAAAAAGGTTTGTTTTCCAACTTTATAAAATCAAAATGGAAAAATTCACATTATTACTCCCAAAATTGCATAATTTTATACAAATACTCTGAAATCATGGGTCAGAATAGTAAAAATACAATTCACATTATACTTTCTGTTGAAATATTGGAATAATAATATTGCTCTTTGAATTATAAAGTACATGATAGAGTATATATAGAAGAGACTCCTAACACAACTAGGAATAGAGAATGGAAACTAACTAAAATATAACTTCTACCATAACTAGAAATACTTAATATTATTGTCTAACATCCCCCCTCAAGCTGAACTCTGGCTGAAGCAAGAGGAAGCTTGGACACTAGCCGGAAACTGGAAATTTTGAGAAGAGAGAAGTCTGACGTGTGCCGGTGGCTGCTAACGTCGTTGGAGAAGAGAGAAGTCTGACGTGCGCTGGTAGATGCAAACATCGTTGAAGAAGAGAGAAATTGACGTGCGCTGGTAGCTGCTAACGTCGAAGATGAAGAGAGAAGGTTAACGTGCGCTTGTAGCTGTTTACATCGAAGAAGAATAGAAAAGGCTACTTGAGGTGCCTGTTTGACTGAAGATCTTTGACATTTTTGTCTTTTTCTTGGATCCGGGCAATGCCCTATTTCCTTCTTGAAGGGGTGAGTTGTAGAGGTCTTATTTCCTCTTTCACTACTTCCCCGCTTTGCTTTTGTGCTGATTTACTTTGGATTTTTATTGGTTCAATAAAAGAGAAAGAGAAGGGAGGTTGATGATTAGAATGAGTGATTTTAGAGAGAAAAAGTAGGTTAAGAATTGGTGATGGGAAAAAAAAATTGGGTATGAGATTTTGATATGGTGTATTGGAGAAAAACAACAATCTATTTTTTAGAAGATAGAATGATCTGAGAGAGATTGTGAGGAGTTGAGTTTTTTTTGAAGAACCATGGAGATGACAAAAGAGAAGTTCCTCCTTTGATTGTTTTTTTTGTGTGATTTTAACAGGTTTTTTTTCTTTTTTTTGAATGGAGAAGTTGATTTGAGGATAAAAAAGAAAAAGAAAATAAAGGTGAATAGGGTGGAGCCGCCGTCGCCGGAATTACCGGCGGCAGCGGTGGGAGCAAAAAACCATTTTTTTAGGTCACCAAGAACGGTGACTTTAATACCATGTTGAAATATTGGAATAAAAATATTGCTTCTTGAATTATGAAGTCCATGATAGAGTATATATAGAAGAGACTCCAACACAACTAGGAATAGAGAATGGAAACTAACTAAAATACAACTACCATAACTAGGAATACTTGATATTATTGTCTAACAAACTATGTTGAAATATTGAAATAATAATATTGCTCCTTGAATTATGAAATACATAAAAGAGTATATATAGGAGAGGCTCCTAACACAACTAGGAATAGAGAATAGAAACTAACTACTCCGTAAAATACAACTTCTAGCATAACTAGGAATTCTTAATATTATTGTCTAACACTTTCATTGAAGATGGGTCAGAATAGTAAATATCAAAAAATAAATAAGCAATTCATTAATTACTTAGAAATCAAATGTATGTTCATATTTTAATCTTTAATATGTAAATTATGAGTTTATATTTTTTTCCTCAAAACTAATTCTAAACTACTGTGCATCCATAAAAAGAGTTAATGGAAAAAATAACTTTATAAATCACATTTTTAAGAAACAAAGTAAATGTTTATAAGATATTTTAGAATTTAAACAAATCGAATATTTTTATATGAACCAAATATACATTTAAAGGAATCAAACTCTTCTTCCCCATTTGTGTCTGCTTTTCTTGCTCTTCCGCCCGACCGAACCAGAGGAGGTGTTGCCGGAAGCTTCACCTGAAGGAATTCTACACCAAATAGTTGGTAATTCGTTTTCACCTGAAGGAATTCTACACCATGATTTTAGTCTCATGCGGTTGAAGTCTTAGCCCAATAAATTAAGTGTAGAAAAACAAATACTCCCTCCGTTCGTAAATATTCTTCCCATTTGACTTTTCTTGGTCAAAGTTTGTAAACTTTGATTATGGTATATGGAAAAAATACATTATATTACGATATAACTTTTATATGAATATATTCATTTTGATATTCATTTTGAAATATATTTTTCAAATATTAAATTTTTATAAAATATATCCAGGTATAAATAAAGATATGAGTGGTCAAAGTGCAATCTTGGAGACCGTAAAAAGTCAAATTGGAAGAACATTTTCTATAACGATATTTGCTGATTCTTCAGATATTGTGTGATTATTAGATTATATATTAATAGATGTTAGGTTAGTCTATGAGCTAATTCTAGCATTAGATACTTTCACGCTCAACGCTTCAACACGTAGGGATCAATGATTGAATGAGGAGCATGTCCTTCATGACCGATTACCTTCGTCGATATTCCGGACCCAAAACCAACCGGTAGATTGCCATCGGTCATTCCGGTGGGTTAGCCCGTGATACACTCGGTACCAAAGAGTACACATGGGTATACATCAAAGTAACATGATTTTATCTCTAAAATAAGAGTTTGCACTCTAAGCATTCCTCAGTGACCAACTCTTTCGGTTTAACTCACCTATATTTTGCATGCCCTTTTTTTCCTATTTTCTTTTTCCTTTATCATTTAAAAAACAATGTTCATATAAAGCATGTAAACCATTTGAGAAATACTATATACTAGCAAACCAAAAGTCCACAGTAAGCTGGTACATACATACATATGTGTTTAGGAGAAATGGCAGTTCCAATTTTTCTCTCTATCTTGTTATGTACTGAATCTCTGCATTCTCTCTAAGCCATTCGAGTACTTTTGCTCCTTCAAGTACCTCTCGCACCTATATATTTTCAATCCAAACAATAGTTAATAATAATTCTGCAATCTAAAGTCTATGTTAGTCTGTGTAGTTAGTTAGTTAGTTAGGCACTATTTTTGTAACCTGTTCCTTCACGCGCTCCTCGTCATAATCCTGCTTATTTTGTTTGAGCACAGAAATTGAGTTTTTGACCTCCTTTGCCAACTCCTCAACTGAGTACTGCAGCAAAGAACCCCAATGAATTGGTCAGAATCAGATTTTTCCGTGCTTGTTTATATAGTCAAAATCCAGAAGAAAACACTATCCACCTGCAGATTTTCGCGAGAGAATATATCACCAATGGCTAGGTTTTGCTTTATGATGTTTGTTATGTTCGCCTTTTGAGATTGAAGGAAGTCGTTCACGGCCTTGGGGCTTGATAGAGCTGCCAGCTGCTGTTCATTGAGCTTCATGTTTGCCTAACCCAAGAAAATCCTGATGAGAGTGCATGTTTGTTTATACATGTGGGGGAAATATAGGAAGATGCCAGCTGATAATGAAAATGGAGGAGCAGACTTGTTTTTCTAATAGTTGGGCCCCATACAGGTGCCTCCCTTGTTCCTCAAAGAGTGATTGTGGGATATCAACTTCAACCATCTGGAAAAAAAATGACAACATCGTGCATTAGGCAAACAATTTTTACAAATTTGAGAATTCCGGGGCAGAAAACCAAATTAGGAGTGCCCCAAAAAGTTTGTTATCTAAATAAATAAATGACATTGGGGGAAGGAAAATGTTGAAAAACTAACAAAATATTACGTTCAATTTTTCTTTACAAGGAAATCACCTGTTGAATCTGAGCTAGAATTGCATTATCAGTGGCCTGTTCTTTAGCTGCTTGGGCCACTTCATGGCACCTTTCCCACAATGCTTGCTTGACCTGCATATTCATAAATTGTCTTAAAAAACAAAAGAATCCACGTGATTTAATTATGTTACGGTTATACCCTTAATTCTTTGCAAAGTATTACTGCATTTTAGCAGAGCTTACCTCCTCAATGGTAGTGCATCCTGGAACAAGTTTTTCCGCGATGGAGTCATTCAGCTCAGGTAAATTCCTATAGAATAGTTCCTTACAATGAACCTGAAAAAAAAAAGATCGATAATCTAGAAAGTTAAAACTTTACAATAAAACGTTATCCACAACCGAAAATGGGAGCGAACCCACCGTGAATTGAACATGAACACCACGGAGATCTTCTTGTTTCCATGATTCTGGAAATACAATTGGAAAGGACTTTGTTTCACCACATTTTATTCCAATTATAGAGTCTAGGAAACCAGGGAGAACATTATCTACCTCTGTATCAAAGTTAAAACCTGGGAAATAAAAAGAAAACAATGAGGGAGAGAGAGAGCTAAAAAAAGGACAATTATGTAATGAAATATGGAAGCAATTTACACATTCTGATATGCTTTTCACAGCGATTAGTGGATGTGCAAATAGTGACTCATTGACCATGAATCGGATAGACATAGGCTCGTTCTTTCAACCCTTTTATTCCAATCATCCATACTCCACATTCCAAGATTCAAGTCTAGACTCCAAGCAGTTTAAATTGAGGCAAAAAGAACATGGCCATGGTAAAACAGGGTGAGCTCTTCCAGGCCAAATTACTCAACACGGGTCGAGTGTCGTGTTCTTGACTTCTTGACATAGCAATTTACAGATTCTACTATGCTTTTCAGAAGTATGGTGGATGATCAAGTTCCCCAATGGAATTTGTTCTTTCATTGTTAGTGAATGTGACAAATATAGTTTCAATGAAGCAGTCTTAGATTTCCACAGGAAGAGCAGAAACTCACATTCAAAGTCATTTGAAAACATAAAACATAGATGTTAAAGAATAGATTGAACCTCTACTCTCTGCAGCTGGAATTCTTTTAGAATTTGATTCATTTTGTTCAATCGTCATAGCTGATATATCAAGAACTGCTACATCGCCAACCTATTACTCCAATAAGATGCAACAATCAGATTTCTTGATTCGAGAAAATGAATTTGACTTCAAAAAAATCATATATACTCCGTGTGTGTGTGTGTGTGTATCCATAAAACCCATGAACAATTTACTTTACAGCATTGGAGGTGGGACATGATTTACCTGTAGTCCCCTATCAGCAACAATTTGTAATGGACCTAGAGCTTTGTGACGAAACTTCAATTCTTGTTCAGCAATTCTCTGAGCATCTGCATCACTGGCTAACTCCACAACAACCTTACAATTTTTGTATGCATTTTCTGGAACCCACTTGATATCAGGTGCCACATCAACAAGAACATCGTACCTAAATTACCAATAGTAAGTTTCAGTATATAGTTACAAAGGTTCCATTTGCAGCCAGCCTATTCTGGCTTATTCTGCTTACCTCGGCAAAATAGCCCTAACTAAACCGACCTTAAAAATCTTGTGGACAAAAGTTGTCCAATATGCTGTCTAATGACCACAAAGATACAACCCTAACTATAATATATGAAGGTCTTGACTCCTTAGAAAAGAATTACTCCTTCCCCTTCCATCCTACTGTTTTGTCTCATTTCAATTTAAGGTGTTTGACTAATAGTCTAATACGGAGTACTATATTAACTTCAACATATTTAAATATCAATGTACAATTGAAAAAAAAATTATATATTTAAAAACTATATTAAAAGTTCTACTATATAAAACAAGAATGACCAAACTAGTTCTGTAATAAAAAGAAAAAATATTCACACTACACCTCAGGGATATATACCATCTCAATTTTAGAGGTAGCTAAAAGCGTTAAACAAGAAGTAGATGGAGTGATGGTTTTGCAGACCTCAGAGAGTTCAGGGATATATACGTCTTTTCCATATCTTGAAAGTTTGTAGCAATATGAATTGAGTCTTCCAAGGCCTTTCCAGTTACCTATGGAGATCAGCACGCAGAAAAATAGTTAATACACCAAGAAACTATCTTGTCAAATCTTGAAACATTCAAATCTCACAAGACCTTGTCTGAAATTCCAATGTAATTGCAAAGGACCAAAAAAAAAGAATTCCTTGCCAAATACTCCACATCCAATATGTAATGACTGTAAAATCCACGGGGACGGCGGGGTGATCCCTTCTCTTCCCACATTTAATGAGAATATAAGAGGGGAAAGAAAAACAAATCCTCTAAGTACTATGATAAACTCCTTACAATCTAATTACTTATCTCCTCGTAGCGCAGAGGAGGAACTTAAACAGAAAAATGGAATTTTCATCAGTGTGTATTGCTTAGCAAAACAAATGGTAACAGGCAAATAGCAAACTCACCGAAGACAAGGCATGCGGGAGGGTTCTCTTGAGAATAGATTCAACAGTAGCTTTCTGAACATATTGCTTCCCGGCAAATCCAACCAGTATGCTTTCAGGGATACTCTTGCCAGGTCGAAACCCGGGGACCTGAATAGGTTATTTGAATGGCATTTTCACTTCCTCCAGTTTCCTCTTTCCAGAAATGAACAGAGGAAGAACCAAACAAACAATTAAGGTACCTTTGCACGTTTTGAAATTTCCCTTATGACTCTTATGTAACAATCCTCACATACAGCAGGAGGAACTTCCACGCTCAATTTGACCTGCAAAACAATCACAGGTTTTATGCTACATAATTCTGTTTGGACAAAATTAGCCATAGCACCATTTCAATAGGAAGAACAAAAACTGAGAATTACACGTATAAATTCGATAACCAGTCTACAAAAACAATCAAAAAGATCACAATTATAAACAGAATTAAAAAATTGAAAGATAAAAAAAATAAAGGTGGGTTTTTTAGACTGGCTTGGTTGGTGTCTTTGGAACATTCCAAACACACCCTATAGGTGAAGGGTTCGAAGCTGGTACAAGGATGAAAGGAGAGAAACAATAAAGGGGGGTTTTGTAGGCTCACCCTGGAATTGGGCTCTTGTGTTTCAACGATATGAAGATCGGCTGGGAGTTTGTCCTCCACAGAATGAAAGGCGCCGGCATCCGCGGAGACTGCAAAATGCGGCCGCAGTTTTTGACCTGCGCGGAGCTGGGGAAATGAGAATTTGCAGCAAGAAAGCGCCGGTGACACAATCCTTGGAGAAGCCTGGGAAAAGTTGATTTCTTTGTTGGGTTGAAAAATTGGATTTTCTTGGAGAGACAGAGAGATGAAGGGAATGCAGAAAAGGGAAGAGAGAGACATGAGAGGGCCTAAACGGGTACAACGACATTGAAGTCGATCCATTTAAGAATGGCAATGTTAAATTTTCTGGCCAGTGGCAGCCTATCAGATCGACTTATTGCCACTTATTGGTTATTCTTCAAATTTTTTAAAACCTTTTTTCTTCCACTTATTTCTACTCCCTCCGTCCGGTATTAAAGTTTACGTTTTGACTTTTGGTCATTTTTAAGGGAGGTTGACTAACCTTGTAAAATGACCCAAATACCCCCTTTCCAGTCTCCTCCTGACCCGACGGCTCAAAATCGGAAAACAGCCCATAGGCCGCCGCCGCGCTTCTCCCGCCCCTCCGCCTCCGGATCTTTGGCTCAAAATCGGAAAACCGCCGTCGAGGATGTCCCTCCTCAAATTGTTCCTCCCCCAAAACCGCCGCCCACTTCGGCTCAACCTGAGCCGACCCAGATTCGAGCCCGGCCGTTCGGCCCCTCCTGACCCGGCTCTCCACGACTCTCTTCCCCTATATGAGCACCAGGAACAGCC